GAGTTTCAACTCTCTATGTAGAGTATAGAGTAGTGTAGATGCCTCTGCAATGCACTTTAATCATCGTCCCCAGCCCCTCATGGCTGCCGTAATTGGTAAACTGTTCAGCTGATATCACAATTTAATTATCGCTCATTAATTGCGCGACAAACGAAGCTGCACCCAGCACTCTCCCGAAGATGAACATGGCTCTTCATGGAAGAAGTACCATCTGGGAACCGCCTACAATCGAATTAAAGTTAATTTTTCATGCTCTACAAAGAGTTATGCACACTTTGCGATTGTCAACCGACCCAGACACGGCGGAAATATCGGCTATGGGGAGCTACCACCACCACCACCTACCCGGTGCATCCCCATTCACATCTAGTCTCTAAGTGGGATGCAGTGGTGCTGGGCGGCTGGTGTCGTGCTTGGTTGCTCATTTATGACCAACCATAGCGCTTGGGCAGAGTGTATCTGTCAGATACACGTACTCGCCACGCACACAGAATGCAATTGCGGAGCGGAGTGGAATCGGATGTTGTTGATTCAAGGCTCCGGAGTAGCAGCTTTAAGTCACCTTCTGGTCGTTTGATGCTTCAGTGAGCTGCGACTACCGTCGCTTCCTGCTGCATGCAACTGGGCTACCTTTTGGGTAGGGGGACTGACTCTGGGCACTGATTTTATTCTGTTCCCCACACTGAACATGGCCAAGTCGGGGGCTTTCCCGAGGGTCAGTTGGTCATGCTTGGGGAGCAGTTAATTAATGTAAAGGTATCTTTAACTCCAAAAACCTATTTGTACCTTTAAAGTCTTCCATCACTGGATATTGCACTGGAATAGTAATATGTCATGGCCCTCTAGGGTTATCCCACAAATATATGCATATCGATATCCCAGTCGCATTACGTTTCTTGACATTTGCCATTACGCCTTCACGCCTCTGCATTGCCAATGACGGATGACATTTTCCATTTGGATGATTGCTGGAAGACGCATCTGTAATATGCACAGAATGCGCAAGATACAAATGTATCTATATGCCGCGCAGATGTCGCTAGATTTACGACCATCCCGTATAACAAAGGAGCTTTCGGAGGAGGAGGAGGAGCTCCTAGTCTAGTTTCTTCAAGCCAATGCCAGTCATGTCGTTGAAATCTTGATAAATATTTAGACAAACAGTCGCAGCTTTGGAGCCCTAAGTGGGGCTTTATAGTATATATTTTGGTGTTAATGAATCAAAGAGGAAACCCACATAAAAAAAATCTTTCAAATGTTTCCCTAGAGTGCGTTTTTATTTATTTCTCTAGAGAGTAATATTAATTTTATCAAAAATGCTTGAAGGTTTAAGACTTTTGTTTGGATATGATTAAGAAAAAGTGAAGTAGTTATATATAAGACTAGTAAGTATCCTTTAAAAAGACAACTAGAGAGATATATAGACAAAGACAGTTGGATTTAAATAAATATAAATGAAATATCGATTCATTAGAGTTCCAGGGTGTTATTCCTCTATTATATAGGTTACATATAGAGGTTAGAGTTCTGAGGTTCTGAGCTTATATTCCATATATTTATAGCTATAATCCATTCCTCGTGACAATGCCAAATCCTCCAAATGCCTCAATTGAAAGCATGTGCAGAACTGGTATGCAAATTGTATCTTTCCCTTTCCGGATGATGTTTTTCGACCCTACCCCAATAGCATCTCAGTTGCCGGGCAGACCAGAAAGGGGAATAATTCATTCCGAGGCAGACGCCCCGGACAAATTGCCATCTTAAATTATATTTGACATTTAATAATAAAAGTTGATGAAGCTCCAGTGCTTATTTTTCTTAAATATTATCGAATTTCTGTCTGACGCCATTTGTCAGTCGAATTTGATTGTTTTTTTCATCGAAATTTCCAGTTTTTTTTAAGGCTTTAATTAGCAGATTTGTTTTTGTTCTAATTAACACACTCTTTCACGGTTCAATTAACGTTTTCGAGTGCAAGGCACTGGCCATGTCTTATCTGAACTTATGAATATGATATTTATGCGAAGTAAGGTCGTTGTATTGTTGAAAGGCTTTTCGAAAGTAACCAATATACCAAGTTACCGAATGACTAAGAAGAGCTTTACTGTTACCAACCGTCAATGCCGACTAAAGGGGCTTAATATATATGATTATGATTAATAATCAGATACCAAGACAAACAAGCCACTAACGTACATAGATACGGTTTGGTTTGCCACCCGAAGGCGGCAAATGATACAAAATTCAGATTTTTTAACAAAGTTGGTTCTCATTTTTTGTACATGGCCGAAAAGGCTTTGGGGCAAATAATGGAAGTATTCGTTAGATACAAATTCAAAGCGTGGGCTTTAGCCAAATAAGGCGAATTAAACTGGATCTCGAAATGCCAAAAGCACAACATTTTTTAACAAGGCAAGGCATGATTTTTGTTTAAAGTTCTATACAAAGTACATCCAGTATTGGGGTCAAAGGATGTGAAGAAAATGAAATCAAAATAAACGCGTGCTGGCAATAAAAGTCCAAATAAAATAACAAAAACAAACAGACTGTCAACGAAGAAATCCCAATAATGCAATCGTCGCAGGGTCTACGTATAAGTAAACATCCAGAAAATAAAAATAGGAAAGAATAATGAAATGGAAAGCAGAGATTTTGAAAGGGTTTTATAATTATTTAAATACCCTTTATTTGGTTCTTAAAAAATAAAATTCTAAGGGGGTATTTTAAGAGGTTTAAGGGGCTTAAACTAGTCATAGTCTATAAGATTTGTAAAGTATACATTTTAATAAAATAAAGCTCAGTACCCCAAGATCGTACAATATCGTATAATAGAATAATATGTACTCCTTAGGAACAGGGAATTTTTTTGGGGATAGTCAGGACTGTTATGCTTTCGTTATAATAGGAAACAAGGTATCAGATCACGACTATATGTGGCTGGGCGCTTTAAGGCATCTTAGTTTTTCAAACTAGTTATAATATATAACATTTAAAAGGTATTATCATTAATATAATAAAGCTCTACATGCCAGGATCGCATAAAAAAGAATAATATGCCTCATATTTCTACTCTTAAGATTGTCATTCTTTCGTTATTATAGAAAATAGTGTAGAAGATCGCGTTTTTATGACTTTAAAAACTATAATACGTCTTTTTTTAAAATTATTAATAATCTAGGTATAATATTGAATGCCAGACAAGATTTCTACCCATAGGCTTGTCATGCTTTCGTTATTCTAGGAAATAGTGTATAAGATCGTGTATAGGATATCTTAATCTTTGTTTCCCAAACTAATAATAATCTAGTTATAATATTTAGATCGTGTAGAAGACTATAAGACATCTTTATTTTTCAAAAATATTTATAATTTAGTTTTAATATTCAATAAAATGAACCTCAATATGCCAGAATTTAATATCCCAAGTTACATAACCCCTCTGGGAATCCCCTTTTTAGGGTTCTCTGGGAATTTGTCAGGACTGTCGAGCTTCCCCTATTTTTGAGAAATAGGGTATCGGATCGCGACCATATGGCGCTGGGGTCGCGTTGCCTTGGCAATGTGACAAAATGCAAATGCGGCAACCTCTGCTCGGCTCGGCTAACGGTAAGCTTGGGGAGCTGCAGAAAAACCGTTTCTGTTCTTGATTAAATATCCCCACTACCACAACCATACACATACACACACACACACACACACACATATGGATATCCAACACGCATACTGATGGCTCCTTTACGTGAAGGAGGAAATCGCAGGAAAATATAAAAAGAGCGCCAGAACTGGAGCTCGGAAAAGAAAATCGATAATTTGGTGTTTTGGCCATACCATGCTGCCTTTTTTTGTGACTTTTTTTTTATAGTAGTGCCACCAAAAAAAAAAAATTGTGGCCCAGAGAGTAGAACGAACGAGAAATTGGAGCAGAGTAATTGCGATTATTTTCCAGGTGAGTGTGCGTGTGTATGCGAGTGTGTGTGTGCCTGTGAATTATTTCATCCAACTCACCTGTGACGATTTATTTGTGAATTATGACTCGAGCTCTGGGGCTGGGGCTGGTGTGGAGTTCAAGAGCTCTTTACACACTCCGGCGGCTCGAAGCAATTTATAAATATTTTTGTACGAGACGAGGTTGGTGCCGAAATGTGCCGAGAAAAACAAACAAAGCCACAAACTCCAACTTTCGGACTGATTACACAACGCCAACAACAATAAAAACGGAGTCGGTGCGAAGTTTCGAGCGATGGGGCCTCGATTCAATAGTGGCTTTCAATGGATATATCTCAGCAGTACCGAAATACTAAGATCTTCCAGGGTTTCAATCGTGATTTTCATCCTAAAAGTGACACCGGAGTTGTGCCAAAAATTCGCGCACCAAACAAATCCCCTACACACACACACACACTCGCACGCACGCACACATACACGCGGTTCTGGGGCAGGTCCGAGGAGCGCGCGAGAGAGCTCCACCACGCGGCAGCAGTTGAAGTCAACTGAGCTGGAGCTCGGAAACTGACTGTGTTGGGGCTCGGTACACAAAACAACAACAAAAAGAAAGAAACCCGAATATCCATACGAATCCAAAGCAGCACAGTCGACCTCGACGACGAGCTCCCCAAAGAGAGGGACCGAAACACTCGCCACAACGAGCGCGAAAAAGACGGGAGCTTAGGCCTGGGGGGTGCGTTTCTGTGCGCTCAGCTGAGAGAAGCTTTGAAACCATTTTGGCCGAAAGTTGGTATAATTTTGGGTAATATAACGGTAAATGACAGAAGGGTGTTTATGCATCCCTGGTATGGTAGAGCTTGGCGGCAAGTTTGAATTTTAATCGTTATTGTTCTAAGTTTGTAGAATAGAAGGGCTTATAGCGGTAAGGAAGTGCTGGCACTCCGTCTAAAATTAATTTTTCGTAATATCCTTTGTATTTTTCATTAAATCTTACTCTCCACAATACCATAACATTTATAATTTAACTAAAATTCTTTGTTATCCATTCGGGATTTGGAATTAGTTATCAGCTTTGGGACCCTTGTCACCTTTGGCACCCATGTCACCTTTGGCGCCCTTATCATCCTTGCCACCAAAGCTGCAAATGGTTTTGAAAGAGGGTTGATTGTCCAACTCGGTGTCTTCGAAATCGACGATGTCTCCAACGCGAACAGGTCCCTTCACGGTGCGCAGAAATTGCATCTTTGGGAACTCCAGTAGCTGGACACGAACTTCGGTAAGGATACCCCGGGCTCCAATGCGTCCCAGGACCTTAATAACACGAGCTTTTGAAGCGACTTGTTGCGACATTGTTAATTTTTGAATAAAATTCGAAGAAATTAAGACGTTATACCTCAGAGGGTGTTGTTTTAAATGATTTTCAGAAATACTCAGAATTATAAGAACTGACAGTATCTGCCAAGCATTCCGGGTTAGATATTTTATTTAAAACCTAATTATTAATTTTGAACACTTTCAAACTTTCCACGCAGCAGGACATCCCTCATAATACCAGCGAGTTCCTCGTTCTTTTGAGCTCGCATCTCGTCGATGAGGGACTCCTTGAACCCCGGATCTTTGGCAGGATCTGAAGTGTCCTGTGTTTTCTTCTTCTCCAGCTGCAGTTGGGGCACTTCCACCCCGAAAGTGGCCCCAATCCGCTCTACACTCTGAGCTCCCGTGTCTCCGATCTTCGACCAACTGTCCGTTCCAAACCAAATGCAAAGGGGTTCATTGAAATCAGTCACCTGGCTTCGGAAAGGTTGGGCCGGGCTGCCAAAGCCCAGGTGGCAGATGGTGTCCTTGAGAACCTTCGCCAGCTTGGGCATACGTTGGGAATAAAAGAGCAATGCCCCACCGATCAAGTGGGCCATGGAGCGGAGGCACCGGCAGGTGTGCTTCCTAACTGCCGGATCCAGGCCAGCAAAGATATCGTACTTTCCACCCACAATCACCACCGGGAAGGGCAGGGGCTCCTGATTGCCCAGATCCTCCTTGTTCTGTTGGCCCAGTCGCTCCAATGTTCTCTGTTCTATGATCTCCCTGAGCTCTGGGGACAGGCTCTCCATCATCTGCTGGGCCGTGTCCTTCAAGCCCTTGTACGCACACTCCAAGTCAGTCCAGAAGCGCTGGGGCTGCGAAAGGTCCAGCATTATGAAGACTGCGAACTGATGCAGGCCATGTGTCCTCATGGGGACCTCTAGCAGTTGATCGGCATTTTCCAAGGATCCCAATTCCCAGACATTCATCACCTGGGGGGTTTTTCCATTCCCTAACCTTCGGGCGTAGCTGTACTCCAGGGCCAGGGTGGGTCGCGTTGTGTGCTCCTCGCGATCGAAGAATTTGTTGATGGCTGTGGTCTTGCCCTTGAAGAAGCGTTTAAGGATATCACAAAGGATATTTAATAATAAAGTATCATCTCTTACCACACATTTGCTTCCCAAGATGAGCACTGTTCGCTCCTTGGGCATTGTGGTGGCCTCCTTTTGCCTCAGCCGCTGCTGCTCCTCCGCCAGCCTGCCGGCAATATCCTGGATGCTGGGCGTACCACCATCCTCCTGGTTTTTTTCAAACATTTTTTGGAGACGCTTGTGGAGGCTATGGAATATCTGCGGCAAACGCATCCCAGGAGAAATATGATAAAAAAGCCGAAACTCGAGGGGTTGTTGTGGCTTTTAAAAGGTTGTCAGGGGTAACCATTGTAGGTACGGTAACGCCACCAAAAGTGGTAATAGAAACCGTTAGTAGAAGCCTAGATCTAGGCCTCTATGGTCTAAGGTTGGCCCACCAATCAATATAACACAATTCTGTTTATTTTCTATATATTTTAATCATAAGCCTTTCCTCCGACTTTCCACTTAGGGTTATTGTAAAAAGTGTGCAACAAAATAGAAATACTTTCCAACATTTGGCTAAAGGGCGGAATAGGAAACTACCAGCAATATACAGTGGCGAACAGGATATAGACACAAGAATACAAGTTGGCTAAAGGCTAAACGACAGTATGCGGCATCTGGGGTTCTTAAAAATAAAACAAGGTTAACAAGAATAGAATGTGGAATACTTCGGAATGCTCAATAGAGCCAGATCTCTTCCAGGATTCCGTTGTCCAGCTGATCGGCGGGCAGAGCTTTAAGCGTGCGCAGCGTCTCCATGTAGAAGGTCAGCTCCGAGGTGACCACCCCGTGCTGGGGTCCTCCGTTGTTGTTGACATTCAACTTGAGCAACTGTTCCCGCAGCTTGTCCTTAAAGTTACGGTGCACCACACCGTAGATCTCGTGGATCTGTGCTTCCGGCAGCACTCCAGCGATGGCTTCGTGCAGCTTCACCAAGTGCCTGGAGATGTGGCGGAAGGTCTGCGAAGGAATGGGCGGTCTGGCCTCCCAGGCATCCAGCTGGGCAGCCAACCTCTCGGACACGATGCCATGGATCTTGTTTTCGATCTCTTTGATGTGGCCCTGGTAGTCCCGCTCGATGGCCTCGTAGCCGCTCATCGCCTGGAAGTGCTCCTTCAGCTTGGGTAGCAGCCACAGGACCAGCTGCAGTGCCCGGGAAACCAGCGCCAGGTTCGTGCTAGTGATGGTCTTCAAGCCCGCCACCCTCATCGCTCCTGCTCCGATGATGAGCTGGCAACTGCGCGAGTTGAAACACCTCAGCAGGTCCACCACGTTCCGGGCATGGTAGCTGGCCAGCAGAGGCAAACGGTGAGCACTTCCCCCATACTCATACAGCATCCGGATGAGCATCAGCGAGGCGCTGACTAAGGCATAGGGCTGCTTCCCCTCCACCAGGAGCACAGGATTGCCCCCACCATTGGCAATGTAGGTGCTCGGCTCCGACTTGGCGTAGTCTCCGGCCGCCATCCGCTCGATGATGCGCTGGAACTCCTGCGGTATGTCCACCTGACGCCAGCGCTCCTGGTCCAGCAGCAAAGAGAGCTTCTGCTTGCGATCCGAGTGGAATCTTTGAGCGTAGCGCGACGCTTGGACTTTCAGGGCCAGCTGAAGCGGCACACTGGCCACTCCACAGATGCTCCGCGTCGTCTCACCGAATTGGTCCACAATTTCCGAGAGCTGGGTGAGCTCCTGCTCGCTGGCCGAACTCTTCTCCAAGCTCTGCGGAGAAACAATGTTGGCGCAGCGTTCGTGGCAGTAGTGGCACACGGCCTGAAGGAGCTGTTGCAACTGGGAGCGCAGCTGCTCATGATGTGCCGGGCTGAGGAAAGCCTCGGAGTCTATCAGATTAACTGCATCCTGAGCGCCCACAGCTGCATCCGCCGTTTGCTGCATTATACCGACCACAGCCTTGATGCGTTCGAGAATGGAAACCAGCGCCTGGCTGGAGCGCTGGAGCAAGGCGATCCACTCGGGCAGGGTGAGCTCCAAGGCCTGTTCGCCGTGGCCCGTCAGACTGATCTCCTGGTCGCTGTCACTCCGCGCCAGGACCTCGATCAACAGCTGCTTGATGATGGCCCTGATGGTGGCAATGGCCTCCTGCTGGTACGACTGAACGAAAGTAAAGTTCTGCTTTCGCAGAAGACCCATCACTATGGCCACCAGCTTGTCCTCCTCGGCGCACACGCTGTCCGTTTCCCTCAAGGCGTCGGTCAGCGGACGATTCAGATCCGAGGCAGCGTAGCGTTCGAACTCCGTGGTAAGCATCTTGTCTATCAGCTTTTCCATCTCGCTGAGCTGCATTGGAAGATGCTTGAAGCAGTGGACGCCTAGCAGTTCGGCGGAAAGGATCTCCTGGGTGGTGCCGATCAAATCCAATGCCGCCACATAGTCTTGGGTGCCCAGCAGGAGCTGGAGCATGGGCTGCGTCTTGTGCACCGTGGCCATCAGTCGGAGCTTGTCCAGGGTGAGGTTGTAGTGCTGCCTGCGCTGGGCATAGCGCAACACCTTGAAGCTGTCCACCACCGAGTGGCTGTGCAGCTCCGACAGCGCCGCCCTGAGCTGTCGCACTTGCTCTGCAGCTTGCTCCATTTCGGCCATTATGGCGTGCTGTGTGGTCATTGCGTGGAAGAAGGCGGCCGACTTCTGGGACACCTGCTGGGCAATCCTCACCTCCACCATATCCAAGTAGTGACTCAACTGCTCCTGCAACTGGCGCCCGGTTTGCTGGTGACTTTCCGGACTAGACGCAGATGTCTGCATATAGTTTGGAAAGACCTGCTTAAATGTGGGCGGGTGGTGCAGTTGCAGCTGAGATTTTAGGAAGATCTCTGGCACAGAGCCCAGGTGGGAGGGCGACTGAGAGCCCAATCCCGATACCGGTGTCCCTGGGGAACCATTCTCCAAGGGTTTGTCCCTTTCCAGCTGCTGCTGCCTTCGCTCGTGCCACCGATACCGTTTCCCAATGCTGCCCAGATAAACGGCGAAGTCGGCATGGGTTATATCCGGCAATCGCGGAGAGGCGGGTATATGGCTACGTTCCACGAAATGCTCGCCCCACTTCTTGGTGAATAGGTTGCTCTGCTTCCCTCGCGACGGATCGTTCAGCACAGCGGGCAGATTCTGGGCCGCCGAATAGACTCCCCACTCGGGCGGCATCTCCCGCGTTTGCTGATTCACATGATACTTGGCGACATGGGCGTCGTAGTCTCTATCCGATACTCCATCCAAGGGCAGTGAGGCACACACGCCATTGAAGCCATATCGGCACACAAAGGAGCCTCCTTCACGCGTGCAGTGTCGAGATCGCAGATGACTAAAAATGGAAGTAAAATATTATTTTGTTTTTTTTATTAAAATTCCAATGGTTTCCAGGCCAGATTGCGTATCTCGGAGTCATATTTTTTTTACGGAGTCAAACCACAACAAATTCCTTTCTTATCAGTGACCGAGTTTGGTTTCTTTTGAAAGTCTAGCTTACTAATTTTTACAAAACAGCTTTATACATATCACACTTTGTGAAAGGCAACTGGTTATCTACCATTCCTAGCTGCTCAGCATGATTCACATGCCACCAGCTGACCTTTTATGGCTGCCCCAGAAGGTGGGTCCCTCGAACTCCACTTGAAACTGACTCGGAGGTGGTAATGAGGCCTGGAGAACACCACTCACTTGACAAACTCGCCAATGGACTTGAAATGCTCTCGGGTGCAGTAGTAGCAGCTCTGCCAGCTGGCCGAAATTCCGCCCGCAACCCCACCACTTCCACTGGCGGTGGATAGCTTCCTGGAGGCGGCGGATCCTGGCTCAGGAGCGGCAGCTGAGTCGCCGGCTGGTCGCGTTGTGGCCATTACACATGCCCCGCGGTGCTGTTCCCGCGCCGTATGCTTCTCCACCGGATATTTCCTCGCTCGTCTCGTCACCCAATCGTTGACGTGTTATGTCAATGTTTGCTCTCTATCTGCGCTCTGTTCGGAACAGTGGTATATGTTGCATTTTGGGGTGCTCCAAGATAGCTCCACTCTCGTAGTTTATTCACAGTTGTAGGGCCAAGGCCGTTGACACCACCATTTGGGTGTTTTCTGTTGCTCTTTTATAAAAAAAAGTTAATGTTTTGGTGCGGCTGTTGATGAGGCACCAGTGTTGCCAGACCACATAAATGCAATTATACTAAATCTCTGGAGAAACTAGTATTTTTACAAGACAACTTAGAAAATATATATTATTTTAGTTATATTGTATTCATAGTCTTTATTTTGTCATTTATATTTTTATTATAATTATTAAAATAAAATATTTTTCATTTTTATACATATTTTTATTTAATTTAAATCCTTATCTAGTCCTATCAAACGTTTACCAACACTACCACCTGCCAGAAATCAGCTGTCTGTCGAAATTCAACGGCTCCCAACATTTTGCGGGATTCCATATTTTTAAATCTCTAAAGAAGCAGGACTACGGACGTTCATATATCAAGATTCAGTTTTCAACCAGTGGAATCATGCGTTTGCGGCGCCGTTTCATTGCTGTCGCGGTTGCCGTAGTCGTCCTGTGGTTTATATTGCTCCTCATGGGCTCGGGTATAATTATGGACTTTGATAGTCCTGGTCCTGGCTCCCAGGATGAGCCTGTGGAGTTGCTCTGGTGGTCTCGTCACATGTCCTGGAACTACGATGTGGAACGCCAGTGCGGCATATACACTTGTCGCATCACCAACAAGCGGAAACGCTTGAGAACATCCAGGGTTTGTGTTAAAACCTCATCCGGCTGAGATTTTGATAAGAATACTTGGGGGACGTGTAGTATATATGGGGGCATTATGTTCAAATTAAAGCTGAGATAGTCAGTACTGAAAATAAATATATTATAAACATATTTTCGCAGGGAGTGCTATTCTACGGCTCGGATTTGGATGTTGGAGACTTCCCACTGCCTCGTCGCCCACAGCATGTATGGGCTTTGCTGCACGAGGAGTCGCCCAGGAATGTGCCATTCGTACCACACAACGAGTTCCTTCGCCACTTTCACGCCACCTCCACATTCAGTCGCTTCAGCACCTTTCCCCTAACCACCCAGTACCTTCCAAGCGCCATGGCGCTCACCTCGAAGGACTATTTTGTTACGTTTGCCGGGAAATCTTCATCGGGATATCGCCCATCAACGTCGGTGGTGTTCCTGCAGAGTGATTGCGACACAATGACCGGACGAGAGGACTACGTGAAGGAGTTGATGAAATATGTGGAGGTGGATTCCTACGGAGCTTGCCTTCAAAACAAGAAACTGCCAAAAAGGCAAGTAGGCTGAGTTAATACTGTGCCCAGTCCCCCATCACATATCTCTCATTACTCAAACGTAAACTCATAAGCTCATAGTATACAGCTCACAATATATCTAGAAATTTAAATAATTATGGAGTCCCCTGAGTCCCAACAACTGCCACAGATTTGCTGCACCGAGTGCTGGGAGTCGTTGGGTGGTACCTTGCCTTCTAAGAAGCCTTCCCCTGTTACTTCAAGCCAAGCAATAGTTAATTCTGACGAGGCTAAAAATGGACAACAGGGCTCTTCTAAGGAAAACGATTCTGAAGAGGAAAAACCGTGCTGCTCCCGTTCGACTAAGCAACAATTTAAATTTTAAGAAGTTAAATATTAATCCAGAGCCCCATAGTTTTGATAGTAGAGCTGTTATATATTTTTTAATATTTATGCAATTGATCCAACACAAAAGTAATGTTTAGTTTTGGAAATCAATACTTTAATATAACCTATAACTTTTCATTTCTTACAGCCTCCAAAAAGACTACCTAAACAATCTATATTCGCCGGAGCTGTTAAAATTTTTATCTGGCTACAAGTTTATGATTGCCATTGAGAACGCTGCTTGTCCGGATTATATAACCGAAAAGTTTTGGCGTCCGCTGGTTATGGGAGTTGTGCCTATTTACTTTGGATCGCCTACAATAAAAGCAAGTCTAAGCCGAAAGAAACAAACAATTTATTAATATTCAACTTATATTTCAGTATTGGGAACCAAACAAAAAATCTGCCATTTATGTGGATGACTTTCCACATCCACGGGCATTAGCCAAATACCTGCACGAAGTGGCCGATAATGAGACTGAGTACGATTCGTACAGATTCCACAAAATTAACTGGCAAAGCCCCATTAAGAATAATAATTTAAACTACAACTTGTTAACTCGTCGATACCATATAGGAGATACCTCTCCTGGAGGAAGTCTCTTCGAAAGATTTGAGTGCTCAGTTTGCAGATATGTGATAACCACCGCCAGGAACGTAAGGGCTGACATTGCCCACTACGATTGCCCCATAGAACCGATCTACGCCCATTTGGAGTCACAGCAGGAGCCTGAGAATGTTGGCGACTGGAGATCCATGATGCAGGTGGGAAAGTGTCAAGCAAAAATCCTAGACACATTCTTTCGTCGCAATTACAGCTATACCAGAGCGGACTTTGATGCTGAACTCAATCGTAGAATGGACAAAAGCGACTGCGCACCTTAAAAATGTGTTTCATTTATTTAAATAGTTTGACTGACGGCGACAAATAGTTAACTCTGGTTTAAACCAAAAAAATTGTGATAATCTAGATTCTAGAATTATAAACTGGTATATTGTGAAATATTTTCACTCCTTCTCACTTTTCAAGTGTTCGTAAATACATTGACTATTTCAACCTCAAATTTATTATTTTATTGGCTTCTGGTATAGGTTCTAAAGAGGTCTTTGCAGACAGACAATTTAAAAAAAATCTAAAAAATATTTTGTTTGTATATTTTGATGCAGATTTACAGAGAATTGATCTACAAATCGTTTAAGGTGTGCCTCAGTAGAATCGGATGATTTTTGGCCAAGATATGGCCATTGCGGTGGGCCGAACGGTGCCCCCATGCATTTTTCAGGATTTTCAAGGGGACCCATCATGGAAATAGTTTTTTGATTTTTTGTCAAATTTCCTGATGGAAATCTAAAAATTGTTCAAACAAGTAATTTATTTTCATGTTGCTCAATAAATCTTGTCCTTGATCTCCACAACGGACTCCATTCCGCCAACAAACTCTTCTTTGTCCAACATATTCAGTTTCACCTTGATGAGACCTCGGGGCGAGGTAACGGCCCAACCCGAGGTGTCGAGCATCATTTTTTTTATGTAGTATTTACCCTTGGGTATCGGACAAACGGTTCCGCCCTCCAAGTCCAAGTCTGTGTTTACTCCTGGTATTAGAGATCCCTCCAAAAATCTATCGTAGTACAGTCGGATAACGTCGCAGAATGGCATTGGCGGCACCTCCAATGGCATAAGCTTGAATCCACTTGTGCCAGCATCCGAATACACACTCACTGAGCCGAAAATTTTATTAGGAATATCCTCTACGAACTCAATCGTACCGTTAATAGCTTTTTCTCGGCCAATGAGTTTCAGATCAGTCTTGAATAATCTCCCAGGATAATTGTTTACAGCAACACTTACGTAATCATACGGTTGATTCCAACTCTAAATATTAAATTAATATATATGTAGGTATGTTCCCAGAGAATATAGTATTCCTTTAGCTCACATTAACTGTTGAATTCCAGGAGAACACAATAATAAGCAAAAAGGATAATCTACAAAAACTGAAACAAGCCATGTTTAATTTTATATTTTACACTATTCTCGTTAGCGGTATTAGCGTTTTATTTATACACAATATCCAGTTGATATTCTTCTATAATTAGGAGGATTGATTTAAGCGATTTGATCTTTTGTCTCCGCCAATTTCATGTTTTGTTTCTCCACCCATTTTAAATAAGTGAACTGGCGATAGATACATAGTTTTTGTCACGATTGCAAATAAAAAATCTAAATACGACACCTATAATTTTACACTCTTTTTACTTAAATTATTTTCAATTTCATAATCGTACTGTGAATAGTTTCAACTTCACATTCAGTTATTTATTTAACTATAATCTGATTCTTCTTGGCCTTTAACAGAAGACGTGGGTCGTTCTTATATCGCACAAATATTTCGCTTTTGAAAACGTCAAATTTTCTCCGATTGGCATTGTTCTGCTGCTCAAGGACAAAAAATTGAAAGTGGAGAATCGATCTAGAAATCGTTTAAGGTATTCCGCTCAAGGATCGGACGAAAACTGGCAAAGATATGGACATCGCAGTGGCCCATAGGGGTACTCCCCATACATTCCCCAGTTTTCATGGGAGTCTCCATGGAAAAATTGACAAAAAATCTGAAAATATTTTTGCCTTGGGGTTTTGATGCAGATTGGTGGAGAATCGATCTAGAAATCGTTTAAGGTGTTCCGCTCAAGGATCGGACGAAAACTGGCAAAGATATGGACATCGCAGTGGCCCATAGGGGTACTCCCCATACATTCCCCAGTTTTCATGGGAGTCTCCATGGAAAATTGACAAAAAATCTGAAAATATTTTTGCCTTGGGGTTTTGATGCAGATTGGTGGAGAATCGATCTAGAAATCGTTTAAGGTGTTCCGCTCAAGGATCGGAAGAAAACTGCCAAAGATATGGACTTCGCAGTGGCCCATAGGGGTACTCCCCATACATTCCCCAGTTTTCATGGGAGTCTCCATGGAAAAATTGACAAAAAATCTAAAAAATATTTTGTTTGTAGATTTTGATGCAGATTTACAGAGAATTGATCTACAAATCGTTTAAGGTGTGCCTCAGTAGAATCGGACGATTTTTGGCCAAGATATGCCCATCGCGGTGGGCCAAACTGTGCCCCCATGCATTTTTCTGGATTTTCAAGGGGACCCATCAGGAAATTTGACAAAAAATCTAAAAAATATTTTGTTTGTAGATTTTGATGCAGGTTTACAGAGAATTGATTTACAAATCGTTTAAGGTGTGCCTCAGTGGAATCGGATGATTTTTGGCCAAGATATGGCCATCGCGGTGGGCCGAACTGTGCCCCCATGCATTTTTCAGGATTTTCAAGGGGACCCATCAGGAAATTTGACAAAAAATCTAAAAAATATTTAAAAATGAAATTCAAGTTTAATCTTCAGTTTTAAAATACATTTTATAATTTTGTTTTGAATCTTGCGATAGTTGTTGGACTGCTGCCTTGAAACACTCCAATAATTCGTTCATTTCTTTACTACTGGGACGAGCTTCAAAAATCCTTTCCATTCCCTCTTCTCCCGGTTTCTCTTCCACAGAAATAAAGTCGTCCTTGTTCTGATTGGGGTACAGATAGTATGTCGAACGTACTGTCTTTTCCTCCGAATCTATATTTACAGAGGACGTCTTTGGAGAAACAACGCAGGACATGGATTTTTCAGAATCGTCCTTGTCGGTGCAGCATGTTTCCAAGGAAGATTGGGTTGGTTTGGGGGAGGGGCTTGTAGTGGATACAGAATTCTTTGCCGAAAGATGTGCTAAAGATTTCATTTTTTCGAGAATATTTTGAAAATAGGATACATCATCAGTCACATTCTTTGAAATTTGACTCGAGTTTGAGTCAATTTCCATGGAATTTTTGCTCATATTTTCCTTAGAAATTTTTCCTTGTGATTTCTCTTGGCGTACAGAGCTTGGTCCAGAGCTATCAGGTAAAAGATCATCCTTAGAGTCGAAGTTTACTTGAATTTTGGTATGTTTCCTGAAAGGTGCGATGCCTTTGTTGGCTGCCTTTTTGAATTTCTCGGTCGGTTGTCTCCCCATTCGTTCCATCTCCCTAAGTAATATTTTCTTGAAATCCCGTCGATATGGTGCCGCCGAATCCTTATTAATTATCGCTATCTGCCTTAAAAGTTCCTTCCGGTCTTGAGTGCACTGGGCCTTGGTTTTAAGTTTGCGACCACGGCCCTTCATGGAGGTTGCTTTAAAAGCGGTCTTGCATCGGGGCTTCCTGAACTTGGGTGTAATCATCTTTGCTTTGCATCGAGGCAACGGCTGTCTTTTTTTAAAATCACCGCAAAATATGCATCTACTCTTGAATTCACAGAGCATTCGATTTTTTCTATTAGCCATTATGATGGTTGTCTGTGTAGAAATCACAAGAAATTTTACTTCGTTAAAATGAATAGAAAATTGAAAGTATAAATATGGGGTCTCATTTATTTTTGAGACCTGATGTTAGCAGTTGTTGTACACGACTGAAGTTTTTTTCGATAAAGTTTCATACGTGAGTTTGACAGAAATTTCAAAAGATACCAGAAGATATGGTTTATTTTAGAAATACTAAAACTAAAATTTTTTCTACAAGTATAACGTTGCGATACAAGTTAAAACGATACTTTGAATGAATTATATTTAAAATTCTAATTTCAAATAATGGAAAAAATCAAAACATTAAAAAAAAAGAAAACTTGATTTAGAAACCTCATAAAAAGGATTCTAGTTGTTTTTCTCTGACAAGATCCAAAAATGTCGTTTGTGGGTACTCTCCACAGGGGGCTAGATTCACAGATAATTATCCATCAATTGTATTGGAAATATAAATATTGCAACCCCAGTTTTTAGTCAAGTCAGAATTAAAAATATTGTATTACAATTAAGGTATATTTTATTAACAATTAAACACAATAATCAAGCATTTATTTGGAGTATTGTAGTTCTTTATAAGGTCCTCCTCCTAAGGCTTAAAGTTCTTGTCGCAAGTACCTTTGGAACGTAGAAGTGCCTCGAATAGTCCTTCGAAGAACTCTTTTAATGCTTCTTCTCCATGATTAAGGGAACCATATACGATACCAGTTTCAAATAAAGATTTTAGAACGGCTTTTACTTGTTCCTCAGGGAAAAATTCTTCTTGATTCCGCAATGATAATAGAAATGATATTGGATCTGTTACTGGAAGGGATGTATTGGGAGAGAATACGGCTAAGGACATCGAATTATTATCAACCGTTTGAAAGCCTAGGTTTGGCATGGATAGTGAAAATTTCGGGAATACCATATTCTGGGACATTATATTTTGCCCGAAAGTAATATTCCATGCACTTTTTCCCTGGTTTTGATTGATCTCCAACTCTGTCCTCGGACCACAGCCCTCAAATAAAATGTCTTCCTGGGAGCTTGAATTTCCACATGGAATAGTAAACTGAATAGATTTTCCGCTAGGTTCGAATGACTTTGCCATAGCCCGTTTGAAATCTTCACCAGATTGTCTTCCCAGTTGATCCATCTGATTCTGGACTTCCATTTGGTCAGGCTTTGCAGAGATCGCATTTGGGAGAAACTCATTCAAATAGGACCATCCAAATGGCCGACTATTTGGAGGAAAATCCATGTTGGATGCCATGGCAGTCTGGTCCGCCATTTCGACATCCGATGGTAGTCTACCAAGTCGATTCATCTCCCTATGTATTACTTCCTTGTAGTTGCGTTTATTTGGGAAAAACTGATCCTCCACTTCCATTCTTTCAGGCTTTTCGGAGATCGCATTTGGGAGAAACTCATTCAAATAGGACCATCCAAATGGCCGACTATTTGGAGAAAAATCCATGTTGGATGTCTGTTGGATGGCAGTCTGGTCCGCCATTTCAATATCTACCGATGATCTACCAAGTCGTTTCATCTCCCTATGTATTACTCTCTTGAATTTCTGTTTATTGGGGAAACACTGATCCTCCTCTTCGACTCGACGCTTTTTGGAGATCACATTTGGAGGGAGCTCTTTTAAATAGGACCACTAACCATACAGCATATAGACAACCCATTTCATACAACGAAAATGGACGCGAAAATTTCTTGCGACAGGCCCCAGCAGGCCCCAGAGCGGATTTCTTACGCTCTTTTACGCTCATCGTTCGTTCATCTTACGCTCATTCTCGCATTAAATGTTTTCTGTTTCTCAGTCTCTAAACGGAGCGCGATGAAGAAGGTTGGCCTGCGCTTCGGTTGATCTTTGTGTGTATGCGTGTCACACATTCACATACACGGGTGTATGTGTGCGTGCGATTTCGTTTCGAAGCCAGCGCACAAAATTTTGATTTTTCTTACTTTTCAGGCTTGCTACCCTAACCAAATTCGGGTATTCGTTATTTGATGAAATGACGAAAGAAATTATATTATTTTTTATATTATATTTTTTATTATTTCAGCATACATTTTTAATTTATTTAGGAATAAGATTGAGTGTTAGTAGTAAATGATTACTGTATATATATTTTTATGAATCATTAAAAATGAATATGAGAAAATGAGAAATGAGAAAATTTCAGAGTATATTTCAGTCGGAGTTACTCAAAACGCCTATATCCTTTAAGTTTTTCTTGTTCTGCAAGAGGTATCAGAAAACCAATGTAAATATGTATGTATATATATACAAATATATGTATATCTGTAAAAAATTCGAGCGGCGACTTTTTTAAAGTTCCAAAATATATAAGGAAATTATTAAATTGACGACAATAATTTAATTAAATCTCACAATAACCCAAATTAATAACAAGTGCCTGAAAAATTGTAAACAAAAAAGGTAAACAATTCCATCAGCTGTTTTCGTGTCTTCACCCTCCCCTAAAAATCATTCCATCGTTAGAGTAGGCATGCACAAGCCTCTTGCAGAACAACAAAAACTTAAAAGCAATCGGCGTTTTAAGTGACTCCGACTGAAATATACTCTGAAATTTTCTCATTTCTCATTTTCTCATATTCATTTTTAATGATTCGTAAAAATATATATACAGTAATCATTTACTACTAACACTCAATCTTATTCCTAAATAAATTAAAAATGTATGCTGAAATAATAAAAATATAATATAAAAAATAATATAATTTCTTTCGTCATTTCATCAAATAACGAATACCCGAATTTGGTTAGGGTAGCAAGCCTGAAAAGTAAGAAAAATCAAAATTTTGTGCGCTGGCTTCGAAACGAAATCGCACGCACACATACACCCGTGTATGTGAATGTGTGACACGCATACACACAAAGATCAACCGAAGCGCAGGCCAACCTTCTTCATCGCGCTCCGTTTAGAGACTGAGAAACAGAAAACATTTAATGCGAGAATGAGCGTAAGATGAACGAACGATGAGCGTAAAAGAGCGTAAGAAATCCGCTCTGGGGCCTGCTGGGGCCTGTCGCAAGAAATTTTCGCGTCCATTTTCGTTGTATGAAATGGGTTGTCTATATGCTGTATGGTTAGTGATAGGACCATCCAAATGGCCGACTATTTTGAGAAAACTGCCTTTTCTGTGACATGGCAGTCTTGTCGGCAATTTGATTCTCTTTAGTAGGCTCTCTACCAAGTCGTTTCATCTCCCTAAATATTATTCCCTTCATATCCTGCCCGTTTGCTTCAGTTTCCATCATTGTTGTTGCTTCCCCATGTTGCTGCTGGAATAGATCATTTGAAGAAGCTTTTTTCCGATTGGATGACATCAAGGAGAGAACCGAAGATTCAGAATTCTTAGCCGAAATATTTTTGACAGTTGAAATTGTTTTTGAATCGATTTTCTTCGACTTTGATGTCCATAGTCGAAAGCAACTAGGTAAATATTTGTTGGAAACTGCCTTTGGTTCTTTCGCAGCCTTTTTGAAGTTGGTTGAAGGTTGTCTCCCCAGTCGATTCATCTCTCTGAGAATTACTTTTTTGAAGTCCTGTCCATTTTCCAACATGGTATCATTCTCATTCTTAATTATTTCAATATTTGCTAAAAATTCCTTTCGCTTCTTAACAAGCCTAGATTTCATTTTTAGATCCCGGGCCTTTTGGCGCGACATGTAGTTCGCGAATGCAGCCATCTTCTGAGACTCGTACTCCCCGAATGCAGCACGTTTGAAAACTGCGGTAGGCTGTCTCCCTAGTCTCTCCATCTCCCTAAGTATTACTAACTTGAAACATGGTTCAGAAGTCGATGGAGTGTTATCTGCCAACATCATATCTTGCTGCTGTGGAGCAAGCCGTTTCCATATTAATGAAGCCCATGGGCACTTCTTGTAAGGGACCTTGAAACGAAAGATGCTGGAACTTATTGGCTTAGAGAACTTCTTCCTCCCTTTTTTAATTGGTTTTGACCGTGTTCTCTCTTTTTTAGCTCGCATTGTTCAAGAATCAAGAATAATAACGAAAATTTAGCTTTTTATAAATTTTAGAAAGGTTTAAAAATTTTAACTAATTCTGATTTTTTAGATTTGGGAAAAGTTTTAGGGCTTGTGTGTTACCCGGTCTAGTTGTTGTGTACAAGTGAAAATATTTAGAATAGACTCTCCTACTTCATTGTGACAGAAAGATCAAAGCGACTTGTTTTTATTTTTAGAAATAGTTTATCTTTAATTTCTTATGCAAATAGGTTTCTTAGACAATCACAGATGTTTAGTTTACAACGATGCGTTCTATGGAATATATACAAATGCTAGAGAAAAAGAATTTCACGAAAAAATTAGGCTTTATCTCGAGGTTCTACCATCGTCTTCAATAAATAATCTCTGAATTTCGTTTGGCAAGTTTGGGGTGCTCTCTTTCTGGGTGATCCATTATCCGAGGGATTTCAGCAAAAGGACGAAAATAGGTATTAGAACCAAAGTGGGCTTCAATCCATAACTGCCACCTCCGGCATTGGAAGGACTTGCAGTGGTTGGCTGGCCTGGTCCTGTGATGTCAGTTGTGGGTCCATCCGATTTGGCGTCTGGATTGTAATCTCCGCATGTGGGGAAGTTCTCGGGAACGGGGACCATTTGGTCGTCGTTACCCACTTTGAAGACCAGGGCCATGCCAATCTCAGCATGGAACTCAATGTGGCAGTGGAAGAGCCAATATCCCGGGTTAGAGGCCTCGAATCTAATGATGGTGTAGCCACCATCTGGAACGGTCACAGTGTCCTTCACAGGCGGATGATGAAAGTTGCGTTTGAGTAAGTTAAATTGGTCTAGTTGTTTAACCTGTTAAATGATAAATGGTAAGTGTTAAATAATAAATTATATAATATTACTCCCTCACCATTTCGACGGTCACATTCTCTCCCAACCTCTCCAATCCCATGACTCTGAAGGCATTGCCGTGCAAATGGAACGGATGATTGGCATAATACTGGAAGCCCTCGTCCACAATGATTAGCTCCACCACTGCCCCAAGGTGCACCTGTAGCACATGGTGGCATTTGCAGAACTCCGTCCGGCAATCAATGCCCTGATCCGCCAGGCTCGTCTCGTTACAGAAGTCCGATTCCTTGAGCTGGCTCCTCGCAGGCAGCAACGCCAGAGATGGAAAGTCCAAGGTAATGTGATTCAACTGCGGAGTGTAGAGACGGTTCACTTGGGTCATTTCCATGTCCATGGCATAGAGGTCTTTGTCGTGGAAGTCGGGATTGTTTTTCGTATAGAAATCGTAGTAGACAAAGAACTTAAAGTCGGCCTCCGGCTTGAGGGTGTCCTCGTCTATGCCAGACACATGGTCATAGATGGGCAGGGCTCGCATCTCGGCCACAGTTTTGGTGTCCGGATATCCAGGACCTCGATTCATCACATTCAGCTCGATGCCGTCCGCCTTGTGGGCATAGCTGAGTTCTGCCGAGGGCTCCTCGTCCGGAGCTCCCTCATATCGGAGAATGGCCACCTGGAAGGCCGAGGTGAAGACCTCGCTGCAGTCCATCAGGCCCTTCAAGCGAATCCAGTAGTTTCCCACATCCATGTTGGCATTGAGAACAAAGTCGAAGCGCTCTCCGGAATATGTGACTATGGAGCCCACCTCCATGGCCTCGATATCGAAGCCATCCGAGTTTATGGCCGTAAGATTGTGGTGATCTATGGACACAACAATAGGACAGTTGAGGTACTCAGCATTGATGATCCTCATGCGGTAGCGGAAGCCCTTGCGTACATGGTAGACCTGATGAGGCACCAATTCCAGAGGGATCTGGTTTAGATTGCCTCTCTTCTGGCGGGAGTGCACTGGAAAAAGCTTGGTGGTCTGATTGTTCTTGGCCAGGCGAGCTTGACGCGGCAGCGTTTGAACGAAGTCCACCTGGGATTTGGGCAGTGGTTCCAGAGGCTGGGTGGTTCTACTCTCCTCAGTACGACGATGCATTTGCTTGGCCTCCTCCCAAATGCGATTGTAATAACGCCCTCGGCCATTGATGAGTAGGTTGTGTGGCTTGTTGTCACCACGGGAATGGTGGTGGAAGGCAAACACACTAACTCCCGGCTCATGGATCCAATCCTGGACAACCATCACATGATCACTCAAATCGAAATCGTAGAGTGCGCCATGGGGCTCGGCGGCTTTGGGTTTCCGGATGATGAGAGCTCCAAAGACCCCATCGCCGCGCTGCATTCCCGTGTGCGAGTGCCAGAAATGAGTTCCCGAAAGATCGGCTGGGAAGGAGTACCGGAACGTGGCATGCGGCGTGATGGGACACTGCGTTATGTGCGGCACTCCGTCCATATAGGGCGTCTTCTTTTGGTGCAGACCATGCCAGTGGATGGTGGTGCTCTCGCCCAGCAGATGGTTCTTCACATCCACCACAATCTGATCGCCTTCGCAGACTTCTATAGAGGGCCCTGGCATCATGCGGTTTACCACAGTGATGCTCCGCTCGAGGCCGTCGCCCATGACGCAGTGCGGCCGGGAGCAGTCTGTGAGGTTCCGAGGGCAGTCGAAGCAGGCCTTGGAGAAGGTCTGGTACCACTCCACCACGAATTTGTACCGGCAGGTCATGGGCTCAGCTCCCATCTGGCAGTCTCGGTTGCAGGGATGCTGGCGATAAAACTCGGCGGTCCAAATGTCATCGGAGGACTCCGCCGCATCAGCTTCCGCGATTTCTTCCACTCGGGATGCCTTTAAGGGTCTGCAGTAGGGACAGCAGTTTCTCTCCTCCAACCTGGATGGCGGACAGTCTTCGGTCAAGGCGGGACAGTTCCTCTTGTAGGTGTTTATGATGATCTGTCCATTGGCCAGGCGGCCACATTCCAGCAAAGTGCAATCGGCATCATTGTGCCAGGACTCACCCACAGCATACAGGGAGTGATTGTGCTGGCAGTGAGTTCTCACACATTCCCCGCAACAGCTACCCTCGACACTACGCAGCTCAGAACCCTAAAATGGAAAAATTATTAATATTAATTATTACAAATTAATTGAATTACTAACCACTTCGCAGTAGAACTCATTGCAGTCGACCTGGGTAACCACTATATGAGCCTGAGGATCCTTGGCCACTCCCGCTGCACAGGAGTATACCAGACAGGGATCCTTGGCAGAAAACCACACAGCTCCGAGTTCCTTGCGGTACGTATTATTGTGTTCCTGGTAAAGGCATATGGTATTGTCAACTGAAAAAGAATATAATATTTGTCTAAACGTTGAGGAAAATTGTATCTGAGTTTTTAATTTATTTATTCTATTGTCATCGCAAACAATTGCTTTTGTGTCTCTAAGCCATTGGTAAATACAAATCTTATGGCCATAAACAAAAGCAACCAAAACGGAAAGACAAATGCAAACAATTTGGAGACCAAAAGACCATTTTTTGTGCCGGCATATCACGCGCCCGAGATTCACAATTTATTACTCATTTAATTGAATGTATGACATTATTTTCACACTTTTGTATTCTTTAATCTCTTTGTATGGCTTTCAAAATTCAGAGTGCTATTATTAGTACTTAAATGATCATTACACGTGCTAATCGCCCGTCTCCGGGTGCCTTGAACTCGCTCCCAGTTTGAGTCATGAATTGGACGACAGGTGTTAATTAAAATGAAAGTGAGAATTGTTGTGAAACTTTACTATTTTTGACATTAATAAAATATCTTAATCTTAGATAATCTTAGATTAAGAACAAGTTCTCATTAACCAAACACTAATTTGGCTTTAAAAAAGTTCCCAATCTATTAATTTATTGACTGAATCGTTTAAGAAATGCGATTTCTAGTGCAAAATCTGACAAGTGCCGACATTCGTATGCAAATCAGTGCACACATCAGTTAAGCGGCGATAAAATGCAAATTAAAATGCCATCAAGATCCGGATCTGGTGGAATTCTCTGACCCGGTTATATGTAGGTAGTAGTTTATTCCGTAGACCAGTTAATTATAATTAAAGTGCCCTTTATAAAAGCTATGTGACTAAGCGTGACATAGCAATGGCCGATCCAATTGGGGAATATTCGAGTGGCCGGCTAATCTAGCAGACCTTGCCATTGGCCCATAAATACAGTCGGCCATAAAGGCGGCTTAGCCAAACAGCACGTCTCAAAGAAAACTTAGTTGATTGGCAAATCACAGCTAAAAATACACTCAAATTAAAAAACAATTAACTTTACGACAACAATCGACATGAAATGGCGATTAAAAATCAGATAAGCTGATAAGATGTTTTTGTTTTGCTTCCAAGAACAAAAAAGATTCCATTACTTGTGAAGTGAAATGTTTATAAAAAAAAGAACAATATCCATTGTAAAGTAATTTGGGGTAATGTTATAATTTAAGATTTAGGAGGGGCTATAGAAGATACTATTTTAGAGTTTATTTTTAGACGACCATTTATCTATTTCAAGTAGACTTTTAAGACTGAACTAAACTCATCCTGGTTTATATTTTTATTTCCCATTTTTAAAAGGGCGACAGCAGCTGCTTGGCATATAAATTATATTCGTATTATATGCGAATGTTGCACGTAGATATCACGTATACGTAGTATGTACACACACGTACTTTCATACATTTATTTATAACCAGATCCGTTAGGTGGCTGTCTGTCAGTTGAGCATTAAGGCCGCGTTTATTGACTGTTTTTTTTTTTCCTTTTCTGTTAAGACCGTGCGCGGGTTTTGGCGGCGGAGCTGCATCGTTTATTGGCTCGTTATGTCCATTATTATGATTGCCTGTCGTTTGTTTTAACCATCAAGCACTCGCTTGATTATTTGCCGGACTTACGCAAAGTTACAGGCTTCTGCCAGGTGGGCCGGTACTTAATTTTCGCATGGGAGTGGCAATCGTTATTTACATGTATTGTTTAATTGTTAAGGCTAACACATGGGTGTACATTATTACCAAGTGATAATGATTTTGCCGGCAATAATGTTGGTCAAGGTTGGAACCCGTGAAATTAATAACTCAAGCTTTTGAAGCAATATCTTTTCTTGTAAAAACAAACATTGATCATTTTTGTATCAGATAAGATCATTTTGTAATATATTAAGTGTATAATTAAATTTTAATAAATAAATCTTTAAACTTACCCTTTGTTTCATTTACAGTTTGCAAGCCACTGGCCAGCCCCACACACATGGCTGTTAGGACTGTTAACGTTAACAGCGTCGCGTTTAATCTGCTGTTGATGACCCGCATTTTGTTGCTGGTTTTGTTATTATTTATGATAATGCTTGTGGTAGTTGTTGTTTTTGTTTCGGCCAGGCTCATTTGGTCATAATTATGGCTTACGCTTATTCAATTTGCGGTTATTGTTTTTATTTCGACTTTTTTTTGGTTGGATGTGACTGTCTCTTATTGAATATTTTGGAAGTTATTGAATTTTATGCGGAAGTTGTTGTTTATTTTAACCACCAATTGCCTGCAAATGAGAGAAATAAAACGAACATTGACTATTATTACTACAAGTTGGGTCTGAAATTACACTTAATATGGCTATAATATGTATTTATTCAACTAGCGAATTTTAGCATTTAATTGCAATGTTTTTCTTATTTTTACCAATTAACTGAATATTTGACTTGCTTGGCAGATGGTCCAGTTATTTGTTTGCCAAAAACGTGTTGCTTTGTCATAAAAATTATTGAATTTATATTATTTAGCGGGTTCTGGTTCAAGGCCCAGGGTCTGAGGCCTTGAAATTAAAGCCACGTTTGTCCTAATTCATTTAAGCCTTTTTTTATTGAATTAGAAATTCTCTCCATATGTTTACAAACAAATTGGCCAGGCCGTGGCCCAAACAAGTTTTCCCCCAATTAACAATAACAATTACAGAAAATTGCTTTACTTCCCTCTACTCCCAATCTCAATCAATAGAAATTCGCACGCCTAGCCCTATAACCAGCCCAGCAGCCTTTATTGACCTCCTTGGCCAGAAGAATGAAGCACGCACATGGCCAGAAAGGGCAAACATATGAGGGAATATATTGTATATTAAGTTAAGTATGATTTACGGCCTGACGGTAAATATCACTCATACGCTCCGTGGTACCCTTGCTGGTAGCCAGATGCCTTCGATGTGTGTGAGTCCTTGCTTGGTCCTATCAGCACATGGCCAGCACATGGATTCTCAGGCTCAACTCAAGACACTGGACCAGCAACACACTCTCATAAAGCACGTACAAATTTAATTAATTAGCACGCTGTTTCTTAAACACATACACACACAACACTCACGAAAAGCCGAAACTCACGTCCGGCGCGAGTCCGCCGTCCAGAAGCCAAAGTCCGCCGGAGTCCATGGAGACACTCCACCCCCCAAGGCTGCCCCATATAAAGAAAACTGCGCATAAATTATGAAAAGCAAAAACACAAAAATGATGCCGGCAAGAAAAATACGAAAGAAAAGGCCCCATAAAGTTTTCTCAACGCTGTCATTATTCGAACTTTAGAAATACCATTAAAATTTTATTTTATTAAAAAAATTAAATAAGAATAAAAAGATAAGATAGAAAGGTTTGTACCATTCAAAAGAATAATTTAAAATATTGTTTTATAGAGTATTCAAAAATCTATTATGTTATTTCAGGTAAAAATTCTGGGACCCTCTCAAGACTATCTCCATGACTTCCAGTTTTATTTGGCAACACTTGAAACATCTTAAAGATTTATGTACTGTGAGTACCTTTAGGGCCCATGGACCCAACGCACTTCCGTTAATTAGGAATTAAGTGCCCTGCCTACATAGCACTTAATTCAAGTCTAAAAAGAAAAAACCGTAAAATGTAAAATTCAATAAAAAGCTATTAAAAGTATATAAGTAATTTGGCGGGGAATTTAATTGTCGAATAAACTTTGCTGACCCGGAACTAAGATCTTAATGACTGAAGCTCCGGCACGGACAAATCAATAATCAATCAAAATATTTCGATGACGACATGTCTTTTCACAATTAGGGCTCAAGAATGCTTCCCAAAGGTGGCTTTATTAATTATGATCGGCTTTCATGATATTCTCTAGTGGTCTTGACTGGTTTTCTGACAAACTGTAAAATCACTTTGAGCCGCAATTACATTAATCCTCTTTGATTCGCAAACTGCGAAAGCCACGTGACATGACTCATGTGGACTAGAAGTGTTCATTTGATTTCGAGTTTCATTAAAATCCCACAGGGGTATTCCCTGCAAATTAGCACTTATGTGTGTAAAATGTGTAACTTTGTGTTTTCTTTTGCGGTAAGTTTATGAATATTTATATATATTTTCTTAGAAAATAGAACTTGGCTTGGGTTGCGGTTCCTCTTGAGTGGCCACAGTAATTGGAGATTCCCCAATCAATTTAAATATTTAATCTTGAGAAAGGGGAACAATCAAAATATAAGATAATCGAAGCCTATAACAAAGTTCCAAATGTGTGAATTTTTTTTTAAATAATCTCGTATGACTAAGGGGGTCAGCCCCTAACAATACTCCTTCTAAAGTATCTACTTTGTGTTTATATGTTCCCTTAAGTGGACTTTCAAGTTGGTACTTCAACTTGAAATATATTATTTAATCAGACTTTTTCCCTTTTCAAGAGCATTCTGAGAGGTATTTATGCCTTCCATTGATCCAACATAATCAGATTACCAATGTTTTTGGGTTCGCTTTATGGCCAATTTCTTTTTAAATAAATTTCACCGTCAATCAGAAATTGTTGTTATGCAAAGTTGGCTTTTATATATTTTTGCTGAGCTACTTGTGTAGATATTTTTTTTTTTCTGTTAAGTACCTACTGCCGAATAACACGTTCATAAAAAAGTTGCATAATTCCCAAAGAGTCTTCCGTTTCACGTTTTTACATATAATTATCGGCTTGTTTATTATAATTTGATTTATTTGAGACCGTTTTTTTTTACGAGTATCTTCTCCGTTTGGCCATTTATTTTGACAACAATTAGCCGATGCTGCTGCCGCTTGACCGCATTTTTGGTTTTTTTCGTTATTTTATTATTTGTTGGCCATATGTTGAGGTAGGCAAGGGAAGAGTGAAATGCGATAAAAATTATGGCAATAGCAGAGATGGAGTGGAAGATTTTTAATCGGCTTATCGTTGGGCCGGAGATACTCGCTTGAAACGATTGGCAATCGTTGGGGGTTTCCCTACTACTCTCCTTGGGAAATCCCTGACATGTCAGGGATCCGTCTTTAAAGCCATGTTCTCGCCAACATCGTTGACCACTCAAAAGACGGTTTTCTTCTTCGGGGGAACCAGTATATGAAGAGGTGCTTTTCATTACAGGTCCGAACCAAAACAAAGAAACCAAAAATCAAAACAAACTTTGAATTGTGTTACGTGCCTTGGAGCTTGGAGAACAAAAACAGAAACCTTTTTTTTAGATTTGTATATGTTTGTGGAAAAAATTCAGAGGTAATTTATGAATCGTAAGTCATGTATTTCAAAGATTAATCTTGAGGGTTAAGTAGATTTTTCTTGTCGCTGATTGTAGTCTGTGTGGGTAAATGAACTGGGCAATTGTTTTTTGTTTTCTTGACTGGGCCTGGGCCGCCGACATGTTTTATCGGATTTATTTTCAATGTCAAGGCCATTCGTAAACGGTGGGAAAATATTTCAAATTATTCAACTTTAGAAAAGGTATGTTTGAGTCACGCTAACTTCAATAAATTTTGGTCCCTATTACTGGAAAAAGTTAAAGATAAATAAGCTTATCGTATGAGTCTATATAGTTTAAAACTATAATCTTTGTTTAGAAATTACGAAATGTTTTGTCTGTTGAATGTATATATACGAAAGTGAAAATTCAAACAAAGTGTAGTTTAATGAGAGTAGGAAAATATGTTTTAAAGGACATCTTGAGGTTTTTAGTCTAAGGACTTGTAGGTCTTTTCAAGAAAACTTAAACGAATTCAAACCTTATAGTGTTTTGAAAATTACAAAGCAATAATTTCGCCACAAAACGATCCTCACCGTGTTATATCAAAGTTAATGTTTATAAAAATTTTTATGGAACACACTTAATAAATTTATGGCCTACGTGAAGTGTGTTAGTCAGTGTCCGCGGTGGAGATCGCTCTTTCGTGGCTTTATCCCAGCAGGTTTTTGCACTTATCACACGTCGCTGGGCATTATGATATCACAAAATACTATTTGCTTAGCACCGACGCGATTGAATTTTATTGCCTGGGTACCAGACTGGGGTCTGCTTCACGGAATTCTCTCGGATCCCGATCACACGACGGAATCGGCTGGGCAAAGTCCTTACGGGAAATGGTCCGGGAAATCGCACCGGAAACCTATTCGTAACTCGATGCGTACCGCTCGCCGTCTAAACTGCAACTAACTCGCGACAGATGCAGCTAAGGCGCTTTTGAAGATAGCCAACCTCGGCCGAAGAAAACACGCTAAAACTGAGTGCGATTTTAGCCCAGTTCATGACGAAGTCGACCCTTTTGGCCCGCTCGTTTCGACGGCTTCGGCAGCTGATAACGCTAAGCACGATCGGCTAAGAGAGTCAGCGAAAGAGCGAATCGAGCTCTCTCTGTTTTGCCGACTAATTAAACCGCACCTGTCGCTCCGTGTTGGCCATGTTAACAGCGGTACTTTGTTACCAGAGATCTCTATTGTGCTTATCTCCGCTGATTGGTCGAATGTTAAGAGCTCTTTTCAGAAGCTGCCGACATGCTTCCGTGTCTTGATTAGAATTTTTCGCCTGTTTTTCTAAGGCATTCCATGAGATCTTTATTTTTGACTGCACTTGGAAAAAATAAGAGCATAAATTAGAAAATAAAAATAGAAAATAATAATAATCCCATTTTAAAAACAGTTTATAGGTATTTAAAGTTAATTTTTAAACCCTTTTTTATGAAACATATGATTTTATAGGTATAAACCCTTTTAAAATTTATTTTCCAGTGCTAAGGCTTCCACCGATCTTTGCATTTATTAATAAACAAACTGGCTGTAGTTGTCACAGCATATTTGCATTGATATTTTAATTTCAGACATCTGCGTCTAGTCTGCTCAATGCTTGTTCGATTTGATTACTTTTTTCCCCTTTTTGAATAAGAGTCTTAACTAATATTGGAAATCAAGTTGCCGGTTGGCAAGGGGAAACTGGATTTTTGCGAAATTGCTATATGCGCTCGACTTGATTGCTTCTTGGCTTTAAATAGAATATGAGTTAAATGAGTTGCCAAGCTGATAAATTTATGTTCATTTTTGCAAAGGTTATTGAACGTTTAATCATATATATTTGAATATATTTTGAATAATTATGCCCAGTGCATCTAAAATATATTCACCACACTTTGAGAGGAAAAAGCTCCGGCTCTCTGGGTCTCGGCAACTCCATCCGGCAGCATCCTGTTGTTTGGTCCTGGCTGGCCGAAGACACGAACTCAACAGCCGACGAGTCCTTACTGGCAGAACGGCATGTCCTTTTCGCTGGCTGCGCGCTGCGTTCAGTTGCGTTTCGGTTACTGGTTCACTTAATATTCAGTTCGCTTGAGGACGTGCGTGCGGCAGGACTTGTGAGCGGAACCTCGATACGGCACTTGCCTGGCGGTCAATTGGTTAATGTGGCAACAATCGAACGGCCATCGCCCGGATGGGCGAACGGATAGACGGATGGATCCTGTGGAATGCTGAATATGTGCCAATATGCCAGTGGGCCTTTAATATCCGTGTCGCGTTTGCGGGTGTGTGCCAGTGAGTCAGTGGTGTGAGACAGTGTCCTTCGGCGGACTAACAGGTTCTCCCGTCCTGTCGAGTGTTAAAGTGCGGCCAAAAGTATTTCCGAAACAAAAAAATACGGCAGAAAGTTACAAATCTGCTGTCGCCTCTGTTATTTTTTTCGTCGACAAAAGTTTTTGGCCGAAAGGATTAAAGCCCTGAAACGGACCTACTGGAAGGTAAGTTGTCTAGTTTGTTTTTGTTTTTTACGGGGCTTCTGTTTTTTAACTCCATTTGGGTACTTTACCGGAAGAAACTTCAGTGTTGTCCCTTAGTTTTTCCTTTTGTAAGTGTTGTTTCGGGTTCACGCACTGCCCTGGGAGCCATAAAATAAATCAGCTAACATGTAGGTGGCCCTTTGTGCCGACTTCAATTTATTTTGGTCTCCGATGTCCCCGTCTCTGGATAGGGAGATAATCTATAGTAATGGCATCTGTCGGGTATAAGTTATGGGGATTATGAAATTAGAATTCACTTTTTGGGTAAAAGATTACAAGCAAGATAGTTTATACAAAAATAATATAATTTAATAGAGAATTATGGATTTTAAAAGAGGTTTCTTTTTGCATTAGTAGTTTTTTTATAACTTATCATAAAATTTATTAGGAATTATAGAAGCATGTGCCAAATCCTTAGTAGAACTTTGACCTAATAAAACCACACATTGTTTAAAGGGTCAACTACTTTAACTCCCATTCTTAGGGTACTCTCTTTATGGAATATTATTTAAAATATGGATTTTTTCTCTCAAGGGTCATCGTTGGGCCACAGTCTTTTGTTTCTCAGTTTCCCCAGACACTATCCATTGGCTTGCCCTTCTGCCCATTGTAGTTGGCTGTTTTTGGCCAAAACCAACAGCAAAAAGGTTTAATTTATGGTCCTTTCAGATTGGCCCTATGCCCACGATACATTTGCGAGACACTCATGCAGTGCCGAAAAGTTTTTTGTTGGCTGTCAGCTACGGTGACATTTTATGTGGAAGGACCAACACCAACACCAACACCAACATAACACAACAAACACACACCAAGAGCAATAAACATAAACTAAAAATAGTCACAAGTGCCCAACAAAAAAGTGCCGTAAAAGAAGTCGCCAAGGAATGCCAGTTGCCATTCCTCTCATTTATCAAAGTTTCACTTTTATGCGAGATTCGTGCTAGCAATGAAAATCCGTTATGCTTGGTAATTGAGTTATGAGCCGCCAACCAGAAGACTAACCCAACAAAAAAAAACACATCAGGACTGCTTAACACTAACTTACCCACAAATACAGACAACAGCAAAAAACAGTTGCATTTATAGAGCAGACGTCACAGATGCCTGAATGCCTGCAAAAGGACATAAAACAGGGCAGGAGACAACCACGAAGGAGTAGAGCCCCAGCCCGAGCCACCAGAAATGTAATTAAGGCGGCAGAGTGAGAGTGAGACAAAAGGGCTATAAAACATGTACGCAAACAAAAATTAAGGCATAAACTACAATTGTTGAGATTATTGCACGTCGTGAGCTTAATGCAGCAGACAATGAGGACTGGAAGGACTCGTCGTTGCGTCGGCAAATGGGATGTCCTTTAATGGCTTTTCGCCTGCTTTATAATTTCGCAATTGTCATTGTCGTCACTGGCATGTAATTTCGCTTGATCGAACAGCTATTTGCCAGCCCGGGCCTGGTGTGGCTTCTGTTGCTGTCTCTCTCTCTGCTTCTTCTGCGGCAAATGGGGCGTATACACGATATGAATAATTTATGTTTAAATTGGAAAATGACTCGCAAACAAATAAAATTCTAATTGCCGGTTAGAACACACGCAGAAATGAGGTTAAATTGGTTTAAAGTTAAAGGAAAAGCCACAAAAGGGTCTACGACCTACACTAAGAAAATGGAAAAATAAAAATTGAGAAAACGTAATAAGTAACTTTATATTTTTCAAATTAGTCAAGAGGCTACTCGAGTACCTATTCATTTTCATATTTGTTACAAATTAAGTTTCAAACTCGACCGCATCGGCTCAAAAATGCTTATAAGTTTTCCTTATTAATTTATGCGAAAACCATGAAAAGTTTTAAGCCCTTTTCTTTATTGATAAAAATGGTATAAAGTTGGCAGTTTTTGGAAAGTTTTCGCCCACCTTGATTTTTGATGACAGGTTAAGTCAACTCAAGATTTAAAAAATATAAAAATAGAAGAAAATGTCAGTAAAGGTAAACTTTCTTGAGTGGAAAGTGGTTAGGAAAATGAACCCAGTGGCTTTAGTAATGAGATTCCTAGAAAATACTGCCAGCTAGCCGTGGCCTAGGAGGAGTAGCAGTAGTAGTCTAGAAAAATATTTCGCTAGGCTGCCTGTGGGGACAGGCCACCAGTCACCATGTGCAGGGAGGCGGGGGTTTTTGGTGGCTTGGTTGGACTTTGGCCCCCACGGGCATCGGAAAATAAGCGGGGGCCTGCCATTGACAACAGCTGCTTTCATGTCTGCGACCTACTGACTTGTGTAGCCTACTTTCCGGCGTCGAGAGAGGAGGGGCTACCCCACACTTTCCCACTCGCACACTCCTTTTTCCACGCTCCTGCGGAAGCTGCGCTTAATGGCATCGCCGGCCTTGCTGCACTTGCCGCCCCGTGCCACGCATCAGTCCAACAATTTTACCCTGACGCTGACGTTGACACAATTAAGTGCATGAAAAATACTTTGAAAATTTAATTAAACCGCCCGCCATTGACGTCACCACATAACCGAGTCAATATACATAAGTATGTGGATTCCTTGTCGGCCCCCAAGGAATGCGCTCCCGAGCATCCAACTCCGGGCCATTTGTCATGTGCGCCGTGATCTCATCGATGGGCTTGTGGTCTGATTGCCATTCCGCATGACTTAATGACGGCTTGATAAGAATTCCCAGGTTTCGAGTACCCTATGTTAGTTATAAAAGTTGATAGCAAACGACAAGCAGCAATCATTCTGCAGATCGTTTCTGAAGGCAATAAGGGCAACCTATTTTCAAAGGTGTTGCAGTAGAGTGACTTTGAAACTATTTATTCGGTTACTCTTTATTTCAAATATTGACATATTGTGACTAATCATGTGGCATACAATTATGTCATCAAGTGTATGAATATTTTCCAGTTTTTCAAAGAAAATATTATTTTTTAATTACTATTTTAAACCGATAGTATTTCCCCTTGGGTAAAATGATCTTAGAGTTTTATTGTGGATTTATTTGTCCAAACCATAAAATGTGTTTTACATGAAGCTCTGCCAGGTTAAACACCACACAAAGGACTGATGTTTGAACAATTTAACAAAATCACATACATAAGATTCGACAGAAAGCAAATAATTTAACCAGAAGACCCAGCACGTGATGCAAACACACGGGGCGAGGCCTCACCTGGGCGAATGGGCTGGAAAATGCTCTGCCGAAATGTAATTTAAGTTCGTAAAACATTTACTTTATGGCAAATAAAATGTAGTGCCCTGGATGGGTGGGGCTATAAGGGGCTGTGTTTGCCTTGGGTTTTGCCGGCAAACATGTTTGCTTTTAATTAAAGGCCAGCAGGGACAGAGGCTGAAACTAAGCAAGCTTTTGCCAGCCCAACGAATTGCGATTTCCGATGCGAAATGAAATGAAATATTTTTCAATATATGTAGGGGGGGGTGTGTAGTGACCCAGAGCAATATAAACAAGTTGAGGCTGAAATAGGGTCACTGAAGGATCTGTTTCGCTCTCTGTGTGTGCATATTGCATAGCACATTATTTATGTGAAATCCATGTTCCATTATATTTCATAAGTGCAGTGCCGGCAATGGGAAATGAAAAGAAAATAGTTTCTCAGACAGGCTGCCAATGCCACGCCTCTTTCCACTCTAGCTGGCATAGTTCAAATATTTTTACATGTCAAATACGGAAAAAAAGGGAGGAAATTCTCTAGCTTTATGTTTGCATTCAACAAGAAATAGTAGTCAAGGATGGAGGGCGGAAAAAAAAAAATAAGTTATACTCGAATGTGTACGTGTACACACGGTTTCAGGGCCATTATGTTGAAGAACTCCCAGGCAGTTGAAGAGACTTTCAACAGTTGCATAGCCAAACTAAAAACACAGCCCAGAGAACCCGGTCCACAGTCCGGGCCATAACTGCCAATGAGAGTTGACTGATGCGATGGGTTTTTCAGCCAAAAAATAGCAAGTAAGGCTGAGTGGAGGGGAAAATCAAAAGGAAAACATAAATCCCACTCTGTGCTGACAGCTGCTGCGGATGTCGACAATAAATCTTAATGCTATGATTTCACAATTCTATACATTTTTTGTGTGTATTTTTAAATGTATTTATCGAGGAGTGTTCCAGGCGAAAATTGAAGCAAAACGTGTTTTCAATTGAAACATTTATCTTTTCTTTACACGCTTCTGAAGGATAGTGTTTTTGATTTATTATTCAAGATTACAATTCCATTCGTGGCTCTATTACGGAAGAAAGAAGCTTGAGTGATTCGAGCTTGCTATTTAAAATATCTTTCACTGAATCATTTATTTCCTGCTGATTACTATCAAAAAGCATCATGTGTTTTTTGTTTGTTTTCCTAATAAACTGAATGCCCTCCCTAATTATTTATGCATCCATCAAGCATATTTCATATGGCTTTGTTGGGTGGGAGTGGAATAATAAATCGCATAAATTACAATTCAATTTCTTAGGGCCTATTATTTAATGCCTGACAGGGGGAGTGAATCCCCGAAGCAGCCACGCCCCTCGCACAGGCTCCGACTTTAGGCCCTTTTCGCTTTCCGCCCTGGCATGTGGGACTGAGAGCCATAAAGCTGAAGCTGCTGCCAAATAGTAATCATATTTTCGGGCTAAAAGCAAGCTGAACAACAAACGCGCTAAGGATAATCCCATTCGGTACAGGCCAATGATTTCAAATGCGCTGCATGACGCCGCCACCCCATCTCACCATCCTGTAACCATCCAGCACCCCTACATCCTTGTCTTGGCGTATTCATAATTCGATTTTTCATGCTTTTCCTCGTTCCCGGCATCTACTTAGGCGCCCCATTTGCTGAGTCGCCTTTTGCCTTGGCCAATGTTTTTGCGATTACGTCGGGTCCATCCCCTCACGCCTGGGGATGTTGTGGAGCTGGTCAGACAAACGAATTATGGATTCCTTGCCATTATCATGGCCCAATGCTCCTTTTGCTCTTCTGTCGGATTATTGGAGGTCCTTTTTATTGTCCTGGAGGAGCAGAAAGAATGCCCTTTTGTTGTTCATTGGCATGGGACTCATGTGTTATAGCTGGTTTATTAATAAAGAAATTGAGATTCATGGCTAGTTTTCGGTTCTACCGCAAAAATAAATGTATGATAGGTATGTATGGCTACAAAATTATTCAATCCTAGCTATATCTTATAGGAAACTTTTGTTACAATTCCAACAATATCCGAAATGACTGCAGCTGTCCCTTTTAATTTTCATACTTTTCCCCGAATCGAATTCACAAAGTTTTGTGAAAGAATGCCACGTCGAGAAGTTCTCTGCGAACTGATAAATAATGCATTCTCTAGTAAGTCAGAGACAAACAACAAGGATGACATCTGACGGTGGATTGTTTGTCGTTTGGCTTGATTTTTCCTGCAAACATGTCAGATATAGTTTCCTGGCTCTTTTATGACTACTTTTGCAGTTAGTTTTTAGATTTCTTTAACTTTAAAGGAAGTAAAAAGGGTAAATCCTCCAAAACATTAGTAGTGTGAGGGATTAAAGTGTAAGAATTTTACCCAAAACTTAGTTCTATCTAAATTTAATTTTTATTACAAAATAATTAGCTTGAAAGAGTATTCAAAGTAAGCTAGTGGTTCGACACAACTTTTCTCATTTCTTGCCGTCGACCAGGAAAATGTCTTCCCTGTCTCCTCCGAAGATCTGCAGTCCTTTGCTGTTTGTCCCGACAACTTTCCGCCAGTCGTCCTTTTTTGCCTTTTGGCTCTGCCTGTTTCCGCTCTGGACAATGACTGTGCTGCTGACCTTGTCCACTGCGCTTTTCCCACGCCGCTGCCGGAGGGACGACCGAGTTCGCTTCCTGGCCATTGATTTTCGCCATCATCAGCGCCAGTTCGGCCCCGTTGCCTCTTTAATTTACAGAAAAAAACGCAACTCGATTTATGGGTTTTGTGTTTTACTATTTTCCGTGCTCTTCTTCATTTGCACATTATTTGGTTGCACCGAAAGGGAAATGTTTTGTTTGACCCGAAACTTGCCCGGTTTTGTTTAGTTTCGTTGTAGTTTTCTGTTCACTAAAAGTTTCTCGTTTGCTGTGATTTCGCTTTTCCTTTTTTTTCGATTGGGCTTTGGGCAGCATTGTTTCGAATTTTCCCTTTTCCCGCAGGCATCAGGTCACATTCCGCATTCTCAAAGTCAGAGTAGTATCTGGGTTTATTTTCATTTAACTGTTTGGTTGGGCGTGCCTCGTCCTTCAGCCTTTTGTATTTTGGGGCCAGCTCGGCTAATGTGGCGTATGAGTGACGTGGCGTATATATGCAATTAAAATGAGAATTCTGAAAAGTGCAAACTTTCATTTTAATCAGGTCACTTATTTATTCTACAGATTGTAGATGATTCAGTTTGATTTATGTCTGAGAAGTGCTTTTATTTATGATTTATATGATACTTTTATTTATAGTGCAATTTCCCATATCTATCCATTGTCTTTTCATCCTCAATTAAAATTTTCACATGCTTTCTTTGCCAAATAGATTCACATATTTTTACTGGCAAGCTCGATTGCCTCGCCCCTTGCTTGACACACAAAAGTGAACATCTCTCCAAGGGATTTAAATAAATCGCCTCCATCACAATACGAAATTGGCAAAAACGTATTATTCACTTTAACACACATTTGCGCACGGCACTCGACGGCAAACGAGCCAAGGACTTGATAGGACCCATCCTCGAACATGTCGGGCCTCAGTGAACAACTGATTGATTTCGGGGGGAGTTTTTTGGGGATGGAGGCTTTTCATGGGAATGGAGATGAGGCTGGGGCTGGGGCCTTCCGAGAGGCAGCTGAGAAGTGCCACTAACAGGCGGTGCAGTCGTGAAGTGGCGCCGCAGAATTGGTGCTACGGGAGGGCGAAAGCCCAAAGACAAAGCGCGAACCGAAAGCACTCAGCGATGAGGAACTGCTCCCCAACCGCCACTGTCAATCCTCTATGGCTGAGGCAGAGTCGGAGGTGGTGGCTGGTGGCAAAGGCAAAGCCAGTAGCAGTGGCAGCCACTTAATGAATGGAAAGTCTTTCTAAACGCCGCCGAGATTGATGACGCACTTGATGCTCCCTCAGTTGGCTGTCGCTGTTCACTCGGAATCTCATTCCCATTGCGACTGCAAAACTTTGCCGCTGTCGAGTGTCCTTTTTATATAGTCAGTCAGTCACTCAGTCAGTTGATCGGTGGAGTGGTCTTGTCACTACCTCTTACGTTCTTTTTTTTTTTTTTTTTTCGTTGGTTTCAGCCTCTTCTCTGGGTTGTCTCAGCTCTCGCGCTACTCTGACTTTTGTGCTCCGTCGCACTTAACCAACATTTTGTCATTTTGACAGCGAACACATGGCCCCTCGGCCTCCACCACCACCGCTCCTGTCCTGGTCCGAACGCTCCTAAAGTGCGGCCAAGTAAAAAATTTGCATACTCAGCTAAAGCGACCGAAGCACCAACCAAAAATAAAATGAAAGTGTACTATATACAATGGAATATATATGTATATATATTTTTACGAATTTTCGATGCAAGTGTGTCTCCAATTTTTGGCCACAATTTCGTTCCACAAAACTGCCGCAGTGATGAGACACAATATTTCCCTCGACTTTCCTCTGCCTTAACTTTTACTTTTTGTCTTTTTTTGTGTCGATTGTATTGTATTCGTTCTTTTAGAAATTTCCTTCAAATTTATTCAGCTTATTGCCTGCTGGGGCTAACGTGGCGTATGCGTTATTTTTGTCAGTCTTTTCATCAGGCTAAAATCACTTTCTGGCTTGACAAAGTGAAACGATGAGTTAGGTTTTACATCACAAGAGGCTCATTCATCTGATTTGCAACATTTTAGCAGGTTTATGACACGTTTAAAATTCTTTTTAAAAACAGATGCGTTAAAAACTGGTATATCCTTGAAATAAAATGAAAGAATCTCACTTCAAACGTCAGCTATCAATCAAAGAACTAAAATATACTTTATACTAAAGCCATAGCATAAATTTTATCAAAGAATTTATTTTTGCCTTAATGGCTTTTGGAATTCTTCAGAAATTTCCCACCCAAAAATATCTAATTAATTTTCGTTTGTCAAAGGAAAATATTTTCAATGCTGCCGCACTTTGCACATCCTTTGGGGGTTATGGCTGAAGTATTTGCTTTGCATAAAGAATTTTATTTATAAGTAGTTGGGTATGTATCTCGGGGGCACACAGCGCATTACTGCATTACTGCAAGGATATTAACCCACACTCGGCATCCAGCTTACTTGAACCTTTCTAAAGTCCTTGGCAACAATTTTTTCCCTCTCCTCTATTTTCAGTCAAAGGATAAGCAAAGCGCCGTGGGCCACTGCCTGAGGAGCAGAGGAGCAAAAAGGACGATGGAAGCGGAAGATATGCAAAGCTAACACCATAAACCCAAAGCCGGCAAATGCGAGTGCAGAACAAACTACGAAAGTGCAACCTGCGCCCAAGTCTAATTAAAAAGTCCCGCGCTGATTCCACGGATTGCTCATACGCCGTGTGGCACGAAAGTGGTTAGTGTGTGATTTAAGGTTTTAAAGCTGAAACTCTTGAATATCGGTCGAAGAGGCTCGAAGTGTGTGTTTCGATTTGTTTGTGGGCCGTCAAAGAATTACTCTGGCATGCGGCTGTTGTTGCCACAACTGTTGCATGCAACATGGATGGCGAAAATCGGATTATACTCAATGTGGGCGGAATAAGGTGAGTTACTATTTTCATTATAAATGTATTACATTTTTGAGTAAATATCTGTAAGTTTTGAATGGTAAATAGTCGAAAGCTTACAGAGAAATCTCCCCATTTTTGTACAAAAAATAAAACCTATATTTCTAAGCTTACTGAATATCAACCATCCATTTTATGAACTCTTCAAATATATTATTTAGTCTCTATATATTTATCTAAGCAATGCCTAAATCACGTAGCATATCCTGTTGATTTAATATTCTCCATAAATGTACACAATAGCACTCGACCCAAATTTTGAGATTGGTCTTTTAGGCTATCGATACAGTATTGGCTTTCGTTTATTTGCTATTTTTTTTGGTTTGTTTGGAAGGATATTGGACCAGGAAAGTTCAATGTATTTCCGTCATATTTTTGGGCAGAACAATAGAGGCGTTACGGAGTCGGTTTTCCCTGCCAACATAACAAAAACAAGAAATAAGAAAAACAAAGCTGAACTAGGAAAATTGTTCACAATTTGTGTAACAACAGGAAATGTTGGCTCTTGCCTCTCAATGTTTTTTTTGTTGCTTTTTTTTGAGGCAGAGTCAGTGTACGTATTTTCATGTAGATAACCGTCCTGGCTTTGAGTTGTAAGCTCCATTATCAGCATCGTCATCGTCATCATCATCGTGTGTGGGAGTGCTCTTTCATTTTTTTTTTTGGGGATACTTCATGTATCCCCCAGGCTACTCGGGCCCTGGGCCCTTGTCTGCTTGAACGCACTTTTCTGGCTGAGGGCCTTTATCCAGCTGCAGATTTTCGTGCCTAGTTAATAATTTATGATTCCGTTAATGGGCATTGCGAGAGGGGCGATTAAAAGGAAATCCGGTTACTTTTACCCAATTTTTTAGTTCGGACTTAATGAATGAAAATACCGAATGCGTCCTTAAAGCTTTCAAAATGAAATGTTAAGCCTACACAGTTTGGCCCAAAGCGAGTTAATTTTATTGCTACTAACATATTTTAAAGGCTCGGTTTACCGCACTTTGCAAAATTAACAACACAATTGAAATTGCATCATCAAAGTATATAGTCTATCTTGGTCCATTTGTGTTTCAAAACCACAGCCCTGACCACAAAAAAAAAACAGTATAAAACAAACGACAAAGTTGTATTGCTTTGGGTGTTTTTATTTTGTATTATTTTTCAAATCCACCAAGCCCATGAAGCAAGCCATTAAATTGACACATTTCTGTGGAAAAATAAAATATATTGTGGTAAACATGGAATTACTTGAATAGGGATTCTAGCAGAATTTTGTGGGTAGGAAATATAGCTTTCGAAAACATTGTTTATAAACTTAAAACTATGTAAATTATTAAAGATCTGGAAGACTTTTAAGTTATGTATACTTCTCTTTTAAAAATCTTTAAAAATGTGCATTAATTTTTAAATTTCCCTTTGTCTTTAAATATAAAATGTTTTCAGTGCCTAGGTACAAAAGCACCGCTTCTTGCCCACTTAAATATACTGAAATCTCGCCCAGAGCCGACATTTGCCATCAAATGGATGAAAGCTTTGGTTTCAGTTTCGCTTAAAGTTCTGTGGATTGCAATGGAGGCAGCAAGTGGGTGCGGGATGGGGTGTTGTAATATGTCACACTACTCGAATGCTTGTTTAAGCCCTGCCTGTGCCTGTGCCTGTGCGCTTCGTGGTGGTCCTTGGTATGTGTATGTGTGTGCTCCTTGGACTCCTTCCAGACACATACATTTTTGTAGCATACTTATGCGGGCCATGACTGGCATCACGCTGTCAGCTTGCCGACGTTTTTAGCACAAATAATACATGTACAATGTACATAGATACACCCACATATATACACTGGGCATTGTTCGTGTGAGCATTAAATAGAATACATTGTACTGTGAGTATGTTTGGCTGTAAGCTGTTTGCTATTTTCCTAAGTTTCGCATTCAAACCGAAAGTTGTCGCCTTAAAGGGAGCACACAGAAAATACGCTTAAAATACGTTTGGTTTGGTGAAGTAGATTAAGTTCTGTTAAGAGTTTGTTACTGAGAAACTTTAAATAATAACTATGATTAGTGAGATTATATTCCAAATATTCTGCAGGATAATTGGTAGAAAGAAGTTAGAAAAAAGGCCTTACTTTTGATGGTGTCTAATTCAAAAGAAATCGAAGAGGAATAATAAGGCGTTTGGGAATATTAGATGGTTGACTTGACTTACTTATTAAAATACTTTCAAATAACCAAATCCTGCAGTAGTTTAGTAAAATCTTCTAAATTAACATACCATATCTGGCAAAAGAGTGACCAACTGAAAATCATTTTCCCAGAGCAATCATAATAGAAATTATATACATATATTTCCCAACCGCCCATCATCAGTCCTTCGGAATAGCGTGTGTAGCCGAATGTGTGATCATAATCATTGTGATTACGCGGCATTTTTTGTCATAAAAAAAAGGAGAGTAGAGTAGGGAGCTGGGCAAATATTGTATAGGGGAATGTCCTGGGAATTGGTCGGTTTAAGGATGGGTGATTCTCGGATCCAGCTGCTCATCAGCGCAGACAATTGCGCACTGATTGTATCTCAGATACACGCACACACACATCACGCACACAGGCAATAAAGTTGCCGCTGTGGTTGCCTTTCAACACAAATACATTATACTTAGTGCCGCTGGTTGTTTGTTTGTGTTGCTGCCACTGCTGCTGCTGCTCTTGTTGTTGTTGATGCTATGTATTTCCGCTGGCATTTTCGCCAGCCATTGTTGGGATTTGTTCTGATGCCTGGCCTCTTCCACTGCTCTTTGCCCTTCAATCTCACGCCATTGTGTGCGAATTAAACGAAATGGCTAATGAAAAGTTTAACAGTCAATAAATAAAGCAGGCTAAACCATCAACCATCACAGAATAGAAGATGAATGTTGATTCCTTCCATTCAATTTCATCTTCAAAGCACCCATTCGTTTATTGGATTTGGCTGTAAATGGAATAGTTTATGTAAAAATCTCAGAAAAGTCATTTAAATTTAAGGATAATTAAGTGAAACTTTCAAATTGAATTTTTTTAGAATCTGGAATGGAAATTGAATTCCTATTTCGCGTTGAACTGCCAGACGGGATGGCAGGATCCTGGGGAAAGTGTCGCATTGTCCTGCAACTTCAAAGGGCTTTGGTGTGGTTGACAAATTGCTGACAAGCATTCTGCGGCATTTACTGCAGCAAACAAAAAAAAAAGAAGATACATGAAACCGAAACCAGAAAAAAACGAAAGACTGAAAGCAAAAGTAAAATGCAAATTCTCGTGCCAGTTTCATTGCTCAAGTAGCCGCTTAGAGGCAAGTGGCAAAGACAATGGCTCAAACCGAGTCCTTCCCCACTGCCTCGCACACACACACACATAAACACACACGTAAACAATAAAAGAAGGGAACCGCCGACCACAACAACAATGCCATAGACGGGAAAAAGCTGACAAAACCACAGCCAACACGGCGAACAACAATTTAAAATCAACAGCTGCGCGTGTCCCAACAGAAGATGCCGGAAAAAAAAGTTTAAGTAGCAACTTGAAACGCTTCTGGTTTTTTGTTTTAAAGGCCAAGAGAGGATAACAGGATGGCAGGATGATGCAGGAGTGCTGGGCGGAAATAGCAAAGTAATAAATAAATTTCCTGCTCTTTTGCTGTTTTATGTTTGGACCGCTTTATTGCGGCTTCGTCTGCAGCGCCTAACGCTTCATTAACTTTTTGGGCTTTTAATATACTTCGGCCAGGACTTCCGAATTTCCGCTGCCTATTTACCCCGTCTTCCGCCCAATCATCCGCCGCCCACTCAGTCCACCCAGCCCCTTCGTCTTTTGGGGAGAGTCCTTGCCGCTGCTGTTGTCACTCAGTCAGGCGTTCATCGAGTTTCGTTTCTGTCTGTTGCGGCCACAAAATTGGAAAATATTTTCGGTTTCTTTTTGTTTGTTTTGACTTTTTTGGTTTTTTTGAAACTTCAGCAAAAAAAAGGGCCATAAAATAAATAAACACTGGAAACAAAAACCGCCTATGGCCTTAGGAAAGACAAGAAAAAATGCGAATACCGCCGAAAAAAATGGGCACTTTTTAACCCTTTGGGGTGTTGAGGTGTGAGATTTTGTGACACTTTGGCTGACGAGAATCCTTTGTGGCCAAAATAAATGCGGGAACATGGTTCTTTCAAAACAAAACATAAACAATGTATAGTTTGTTTTTAAAACATTTTATAAAAACGATTTAAATTCGATTACCATCCTAATCTGAAAACCAAACACCACTATTAGGGCTCTAACTTTCTTCCAAACTTGGTAAATATTTCAAAGTTGTGTGGTGCTCTCTTGTTCGGCAGTTAAATAAACTCGGCAAACTATCAATGCCCCAGTTGCAAGAACTCTCGAAAACAAAAATAAAGAAATCCCCTCAAAGCAATGGGTTAACTCTTCTGCCATGAGTACGTTGAATGTTGTGTTTATATGCGGGGAAGCAATTTTTTAACGTACAAGCTAGGAGCTGGGGGTAGGAACTGGGAGGTTGGGGAAAAAAATGAACAGAACCACAAAATCATATTGTAAGCCTTGTCAGTTGGTACACGCACTCACAGAACACACACACACACATACACTCGTGCGAATCCCTAGCTATTTCTATACGTCCTTGTGCAAGGACCTCCACTTCCGCATCCTTACCCCGCTGCGTGTGCGTGTGTTATTTTAACAGCAATTTTAATGAAGCGCGAAACCGTTGAAATACAATTTGTAAAGCTGAGGGGCTGTGCGGATAAGGATGTTGGAGCGGGGTCGGATGTCTGGCAAAGTGAAAGATACCAAGGGGAGAGCACGAGTAGGATTGGTTGGGAGCGTGGTGGTGCCTGGAAATATCTGTTTTGGCCAGGTCTTTTTCTGCCTCTGGTAAGGCCAAATAAAAATGGCTGGCAAACGCGTTTTGGACCCGCGCCGCTTGCTGTTACTTTGTGACTCGCAAGCGTGTTTTGTTCGCGCGTTTGTGCGAGTTAATTAAAAAGGGTTTTAGAATCAGCGCACAAAGGGGTCCCCGGAGGGCTCGGAAGGAGCCAGCCGAAGGCTAAAGGAGAACGCAGAAGTCTTCATATATTTCAATGTAATTTCGCCTAGGTCTTGGGGGCATTAGGAGTTATGGCTAAATTTGTTTCGGCGGGCTGGCCTCATAAAGAAAACTTGGGCGCTACTTTATTTTCAATTGTGAGAAGCAGCGGCCCTGAAGATTTTTTAGCATTATTTAGAGATCTTTATTTAAACCTTATTTTGTGAAAAATCACTGTGTACCTGCTAGTATAGCACTGTACCACTTTTAAGTGGCCACCTATTCAAAAAAAACTGCCTAAAACCCCTTGTTCCTTTCAAGCTACCACACTTGTGTATAGAGTCATGTTGTTGGCTTAAAGGACACTTTTCCCCGTACCAGGCCAGCGCTCATTTTTGCTTTTTTTAAGGACCTAACCGTTGTTTGCTTTACGCTGGCTATGTTTGCTTTTTTTAGCCGTCTAGTGCAACGCGGGTGCCTAAGCAAATATTTGAGCAAGTTAATAGCCAAGAGCGCTGGCGATGCCGATGCTGATGCCCATGTGGATGCAGCTTCCAGCGTCTGTGTCTGGCTTTGGTGGCGCCTCCGGCATGTCCCCAAGATTACAAAGGGGACGGCGATAGAGCCGAGGACCAGCCCATCAATGGCTCTTCTCACGCCAATGCGCAATACACTTCCACTTTATGCACATTTCCGGACCAACGCGGCAAAAAAACGAAGGGCTTTTGGAAGGCAAGTGCAATGGGGATTATACGAATATAATTATACACTATCTTGGCTTTTAGTTGGTTAAAGATTATAGATCATTTTGATGAAAAATAAAAGATTTTCTAACTAGTCTTACATGTTTACATGTTTTATAAAATTTCAAAAAAAGAGTTTTAAAACTGCCAACTACATAGCCATATTTGCTTTTGTGACATGTGTAACTGTGGGCATGGCCAGGAGCCGTGCGCGGAAATGCCGTTGCTCTTGGCCAACAACAAAAGGCCCGCAATGCTCACAGGCAGTGGTTCTTACAAACAGACGGCCGCGTGGATGATGCATCGGAACGTTTCCATTTGAAGTGGCATCAAAGCCATCATCGTTTTCGCATTTGCGGCAGTACTAGTCGTAGAGGAGTAGTAGTTGCTCTTTGTTGCTGCCACTGTTGTTGCAGGTTTTGGCATCACACGGCCACCATTTCTACCTTATTGACTGCAACAGCATTTTGGCCCATTTTCATGCGATTAGCGGCGATGGCGTGAAAATCGATAGACTTTGTGGTGGGAAAAATTCAACGGATGTCGGCCCCAATTACGGATTATGTTGAATATTTAATTACTTGGTTGATTTTGTCAGTGGTCTAGATCAATTAGAGGGATTAAAATAAAAGCATCAAACAAAGATATTTTTGTTCAAATTAAATGCAGTGAAAAAAACTAAAATAAATATTCATTCTTCCATTTTTTAAAACTAAGGATTGGAAACCACTGTGCATAAATCGCATTATCGCCATAAAATGGTGATGTGCCTGTAAAAGCATTTAGCCTGGCTGGGGAGGGCGGTAATAGGCAAACGGCAGAAAAAAAAGGAAAAATCCTGGCTTAATGCTGACACGTCTCACTGATCCTTTCGTAGGCGGTTTATTGGGTTAAGTGTGCTGCATATATATTCCTGAGTGTGTGAGTAACCGAAATTTGATTTTTCACTTATGTTTTGAGTGAAGGGCTTGGCGGGCGTTTGCGGTGCGTTTTTGATGCGTTTCTGGGGCGGTTTTCTAAGCTCTTAAGAAATTTTGATTGCATACTTTGAGGCTGACTGAATTTAAAGCTCCTCCATCTCACTTGTCTGCGGAAATGTCTTGATTCGGGTTACACTGCTAATCCGGGACAGAAATCCTTTTGTTTGTTTGCCCTGTCATTTATGTTGCTGTTGCTTTTTTCGATGTGTTTTCTTGTTGGCTTTGCTCTTTTTCTTTATTTGTCCTACTGGCTTATCTGCGCCGTGTCCATGGCCATTTTCCGGCTAATGATCAAAGTGCTGGCATCGGTCCGAGGTCCCGACGGGTTTCGTTACTTTTCCACTGATTCTTTGGCCCTTCTTGTTGGCTGCCAGCCTTCGGACGCTGCCATAACAATGTAATCGAGTGTAGACACTGCGATAAAGTCGAATTGCCTGGCACTTAGTGGACCAGGCCGCAAAGAGAAAAAACTGGTCGAAATGTGTCGGGAAATTGGCCAACACGGTGGCTATCTCCCTCCCCGGCAATGGAGTGCAAATGCTGAGTTATAGTTTTTGGGGCAGGATAATTAAAGTATAGCGGTAGTTTATAACATTTTTCTGGCTGCCATTAGGTCCGGTGAAAAATGATTTTCAATTATGGCCCGCACTCATGCCTGAACTAAAAACAACAACGCTCGAGCGCACCTGTGCACGCGCCTCAATGCGCACGGCTGCGCTTTTGGCAATCACCCGGATCCGGCTCCTGCCAGAGCACCTCCTTTTCGTCCTTCTCTTAACTGACTTCTATGCCGGCTCTTTCAGTTGGCCACCTGCCATTTGGGGTATTAAAATTGCCCATGGATCATTTGCAATTTTAACAGTTTTCGCAGCTCTCGCACTCACTTGCTTTTTGCCCATTTGCCATTTTTGTAGTTTTTTCACACTCGAATATATATGAAATGGTTGCCACCAAGCGAAAATCAATTTAAATCAACTGAATGGCCAAAAAATAAGAATAATTCAGCTGCCGGCATACAATAATTGCGTATACGCCATGTGGACTATTCTGACTCAAATCGAATCAAGTGCGAAATGGCATAAAAAATGGAGTTGTCTATTGGGAGAAAGGGTTATGGTTAAATGAAATAGAACAATACGATTTAAAACTCATGAATCAAAAACTAAAGAGTGCTACGTGGTTCTATCAACCAGAATTTTAACAAAAATTTTAATAAAATTTCAACTATGTGAGCACTTTGGCAGCTTTGCATCTATGCCAATCTCATAAATAAAACAAATAGCCAGCTGCACTTTGGCCTTTGCCGATAGTGCAAAAAACAATTTGCTGGGAATTGTAAAAATTGAAATACAAATTTTAAATAAATTGCATACAAATGCGCTTATTCAATTTCAAAAACAACAAAGTGGAAAATAAGAGAAAAACTTTTGCTTCTAACCGCAAAGCACTTGACACGCTCAGCTGCTGTCCAATCTAATGGAAAACTTTCAGTTCCCCTCTCCTTGTTTGCAATGATGTCGGATGAAAGACGACCTGCTGTGTCCTCCTGTGTGTTGTGTGTGTCCTGGGTGTGTGCTTGGCCAAATCCCCAAGCTATGCAAATACAGATGCAGATACGGTTACAGGAATACTCACACACTCACTCTGACTAAAACAAAACGTTGAAAAATACCAATAAATGCAAATAAATTTAAGCTTATTTTTCCTAGATGGACGAGCACGTCGCAGCGTCGGAGAGGTCCTTGTTGTTGCTGCTCACTTTTCCGTTTGCTCTTAGCTCTGCGGAAAACCAATCAACGTTTTGTTCAGTGTAAGCTGTGAGCCAGTGCCGGAGTATCCGAGTATCTGAGTGTTTGTTCTGGCTCGGTGTTGTTGGATAAGCAAAATAATGACATTCAGTTCAGAGTGCGCCATAAACAAAGCCAAGAATCTATTGGCAAACAATGGGATCGCACATAAATAAGTCCTCCTAGTGCACGGGAGAAACATTATAGATGTGATGGATGAAACCATTTCGAAATTGGCTGTACTTTTCTGCTTGAATAGATGTACTCTTAAAAAAATAGACAAGTATTTTTATTTATAACTATACATGTTTCGAAGCCTTTATTTCAATTTAGAGATGTACACTTATTTAATTTAGATATTTATAGTAAAAATTTTAAATCACCTTAACAGGCAGAGCCGTTTCACATCCCTCTCGGAGGGCAAAATGTATGGTGCTGCTTAGGAATTCTTCTGGGCCACCTTGACGACAACGCTCTTGACCTCCGTGTAGTTGGAAAGCGCGTACTCGCCATTCTCACGTCCGTGGCCGGACATCTTGTAGCCGCCGAAGGGAGACTGGGCAGCGAGCACGTTATAGGTGTTCACCCACACGGTGCCGGCACGCAGGCCGTTCACAAGGTAGTTGGCCTTGTCCAGATCCTTGGTGAAGATTCCGGCAGCCAGACCATATTCAGAGTTGTTGGCACGCTCGATGACCTCGTCCAGCTTCTTGAAGCGGATCAGTTGCTGCACAGGGCCGAAGATCTCATCGGTGGCAATGGTCATGTCGTCCTCGACGTTGGCGAACACGGTTGGCTCGACGAAGTAGCCGGGCAGGCCCTCGGGGCGTTTTCCACCGGCCACCAGCTTGGCTCCCTGCTTCTCGCCAGTCTTGATCAGGCCCAGGATCTTCTCCATCTGCTCCTCGTTGACCTGAGGACCCTGCTCGGTTTTCAGGTCGAAGGGGTTGCCCAAGGTGCGCTTCTTGGCGCGCTCGGCACTGCGCTCCACGAACTCGTCGTAGATCTTGTCCTCCACAAAGGTACGGGATCCAGCGCAGCAGCACTGGCCCATGTTGAAGAAGAGACCAAAGTGAGCGGTCTCCACGGCGTAGTCCAGGTCAGAGTCGGCCAGGATAATGTTGGGCGACTTGCCTCCCAGCTCCAGGGTCACGCGCTTCAGGTTGGTGTTGCCAGAGGCCAGCTGGATGAGCTTGCCCACGTCAGTGGATCCAGTGAAGGCCACCTTGTCGACGTCGCAGTGGTTGGCCAGGGCAGCACCGGTTTTTCCGAATCCGGGCACCACATTGACCACGCCCTCCGGGAAGCCAGCCTCCTTGACCAGCTGGGCAATGTAAAGGGCAGTCAAGCTGGTTTGCTCGGCTGGCTTCAGGACAATGGTGTTGCCGGTGGCCAGGGCAGGACCCAATTTCCAGGCCATCATCAAGATGGGGAAGTTCCAGGGGATGATCTGACCGCAAACACCCACGGGCTCGTGGCGGGTGTAATTGAAGAAGTCACCGTCCATGGGAATCGTCTTGCCGTGGATCTTGTCCGCCCAGCCTGCAAAGTAGCGCAGGTTCTTGATGGAAAACGGCAGATCCACATTGTAGGCCACGCTGTATGGCTTGCCATTGTCAAGGGTCTCCAAGCTCTGGAAAGATTTGAGAATATTTTATTATTGCTTTAATTGGTGTAATTGATCAATAGAAGATGTGACCTGGAAGGTCTTTTAAAAGGCGGAGATAGTTAAACATCTTCAGAAAATAGCATCCAAATACCAGGTTATACTTACAGCCAAGTAAACCTGATCGCGCTCCATCAGATCAGCCAGACGGTAAAGGAGGCGACCACGGTCGGAAGCGTCCATACGGCGCCATGGGGAGCCCAGCCTAGTTGGGAAACAAACAATAAATTAATAAAAAAGAATGTAATAATATCCCAGTACAATACTCACTGGAACGCCTGACGGGCAGCCTGGACAGCCAAATCAATATCCTCCTTATCACCGGACTGGATTTCGGCAATACCCTCCTCTGTGGCAGGGTTAACAGTGCAGAAGGTTTTGCCCGATTTGCTCTTGTGCCACTCGTTGTTGATGAACAGCTGAAATGATTACCAAACATGAATAGTACCATGTCATCTCCACAATCGGATATATTGCATTTCATTTCATTTACAAAGCTTTGTGAAGTGGCCGAGCCAGGCACTCCTCAACTTGATAAGCCTTTGTTGTGATTAGCCACATGTGCGTGTGCTACCCCATTGGCCGATCGCTGAGTTAGCATGTTAGCTGTCAGTACCCCAACCTTTCGAGCCCTCCTCCTCCTTGTAATCAGAAACGTTTACCGGCTAACTGATTAGAATTGAAATGAAATGAGCTCCCCTCACGTATCACGTCATCTTTGAGTCGGCTTCTGTTTATAAAATTATTTTATGTGTTTTGTTTTTGTTTTTGGTCTTCCTCTGGATTTCACAATCATTTCGCGATTATATGTATAAAAATTTCCACCAGACGCTCAAACATAAATATAGTCGAAGGCTGGCGAAAAAAAAGAGGCGCGTGTCAGACTTTTTTGTTGCCTGGTATGGCCAGACGTCTGGCGAGACGATCGAACTAGTTTGGCCACAAAGCTTAATTTTATACACAAAGTGTGTCATGTTATCTTTATAATAAAGACCCCCAAATATAATCAAGCTACTTGGTGATAAGGAGTGGAATCTGCCTAGGGTTCTACAAAATATGAGGAGGCGTGTAAAATGGTGATTATAGCTTTAGATTTCTATCCCAAAGATTATAGGACTATTTTTGTGCCATGATTAGTTGTGAAGCCGGTGTGTATGAAAAATAGTACAGCTTTATGTATTTTCTATATTTTTACTTAGGAATAATGATACTTTATTTTGAGTTCCATTATGGAATAGTTCCATATCGTCTCGCCACATGTTATGATTTGAAAAAATCCCTAGCTTAAGTCCAACACAGAAAACCCATTTTTTTGCCACTAGAAAGCCATTTATCCTTTTAATTAATTCTACACACAAAAAAAAAAACACGAATCCTTAGGAAATGTTGGATTTTTTTTTTGTAACCTTGAAAGAGACATCTCCGATCCTATTAAGTATATTAAGTACAAATATGTACATATATATATTATTGATCAGGGTCACCTCCTGATCTCTCAGTCCTGTCAGTTTTTCTTTTTCTATGCAAACTAGACTCTTAGTCCTGACGTTATCCTGACTTCAAACTTCGCATACATCTTTTTTTCATTTTAGCACATTATATAAGTCGAAACGGGTATCGATAAACCATATCCCATTTCCATAGAACATCATATATAAAGGATATCATATTTTACGGTTAAAGCTTTGAGACATTCTATGAATTCTATTTGGAACAACTGATTTGATCTGCCTTATGTCTTAGGGAGTTGCAAGGATTAGGTGACTATATCCTATAGCTCTTATAGCTATAATAGAACTATGAAAAATTCTATCAATTTCTTATTATTTTATAAGGGTTGCCTATTTATAACATAACTGCATATCGGAAACAATACAACGTAGGTGTTTTTAGATGATAGAAGCTTGGGACTTCTTCTTGGGAATTTGTATTATATAACCAATTGTATATTATTATATTATTAATATAATTTTATAATGAAATTTTAATAATGAAGAATCGGACTATAACTTATATTTGCGATACATACTGAAACATACATATAATAAAAGCTGCTAATTAACGGCAGGGCTTATTTTCAGTATATTTTAGAGCAATATAAATTATAATTTTCATTGTCAATAAATCTATTTAAAACTATCTAGATAGAAAATCTAATACAGTCCTTAATTTTTTTGTTGTTTATTCTTTTTCTAATTGCGCCACTAATGGAAAAAAATTAAGCTTGCAAATTTGTTGAATTTATGCAAATTTCCCCAGCGGCAGCGACAAAACCGCAAGATATAAGAGAAAAAGAGAGAACTGGCATTAAACAAAATGGTTTTTGTTGTGTGTACTATATGCTGCTGTGACATAACAATGAAACGACAAACAACGCAAATCGAAAATAACAAAAACAACAGCCGGCTACCCATGCTTGCTATACTTGTTTTTGCTTTCAATTTAGCTTTTATCTATTTTTTATTTGCCGGTTTTTCGGCTTGTTTAAACTGGCTAATACCCTACACATTAAGAAAATATATTAGAGTTTGTAAAATTTTAAAATTTAAAATTTAAAATTTTTTTTAGCTATAGAAAAGCTCTTTTTTTTCTGTGTACTTTTTTAAAACTTTAAGAACGATAAACATGTGGTGTACGTGATCTGAATGTTGAGAGGGTCTGATTTTGTTCATTTGCCAATTTCTTTGTTAAGCCCAAGCCATAGGGAATCCTAAACTGTGAAATCTTAAAAACTTGATTTCGCATATGTGGGGCACATGGTGAGGAACCGGGAGGGGTCTCTCACCCCCCGACTTTTGAGCGATAACAGCTGCAGTTGCCAGCCCCAAGGTCAACTCAAAAACACGTTTAGTGTGTGATAACTTATTGATGATTTCTTCTTCTATGCAGGCTGATAACTTGCAATTATTTCTATTAAATTTGAAAGACTTACCCCAGTGTAGAGAATTTCGGGCTTGGTCTGGGGCTGTGGGAGGTCGGAGTAGTGCGCCACAGCTGCGACAAAGTTCTTGGTCTGGGCCCGCAACAAGGCACCGGTCTTTAAAACGCGCAGCATTCTGTTTTTTTTTTTTTCTTAAAAGCGAAAACTTGAAACTAGAACTGTGTGTTGCTGCGGTCGATGGGCAACTGAGTGTTATACGCCCTGTTGCCGCTCGTGAAACCTACGGACGTATTTTTCAAAGGTATCGGGGTGAATTCTCAGCAAACTAGTGATGCTAAAAATATCTAGCTATAAAATAAAAATAAATATATATATACACTATTTTTTATGAAAAGATAAATTTAAAATAAAATTATTTTAGAAGGTCTACATAAAAATAATGCTAAAAAAAACAGATTTCATTAAATTAATAAGTAAAAAATATTAAATCTAATTTTTCTTTAATTTTTTTCTGGCCGAAAAAAGCTAAATACCCCAGGAAGTAATCAGTAGGCAAGCCAGAGCTTGTGAGAATTATATAGTGGGGCTACAATCTCTCAAGTAATCAGAACCAATAAGAGAAAGAGCTCTTCAACACATTCAACAGTTTCAGTAAACAATAACAAAATAAAAATAAAAATATTACTAAAAAATACATTATACAAATTGCATTTGCGTGCGGTTTTATTTGATATGCGAAGGAGGGATTATTATAATATTGTTTATCAAATTGCCATGCTCCGATATGAGAGGAATATATACATACATATAAGCATGGGACCAGGCGTAGAGGCATAAATTATCATACGATTCTTGTTTATAGAGAAAACGTTCCAGAATTAGTTTCTTTGTTTATTTTGTTTTTTTTCTTGATGACTTGCAAATTTAAAATTGTATTTGAACGAGAGTGTTTGTTGAATTTCATGATTAAAAGAAATCAAATGGAAAGCAAAAGCATGAAATGGAAAAATTTCAGGAAGACTATAGCAATCAGTGTTTTTTTAAACATGTATAAAAATTAAAATAAAATGTGTACAATGCGAGATAATGAAACGTGAATTGTAACACTGAAACCTCATCCATCACGACGAGTTCTTAAAAATAGAACACGCTTATTTATTATAAAAGTGTCCTGTAATTTTATCATTATATTTCTTATTTTTATGCCGATTTTCTCCGGTCTTCCACTCCATCAATGTACATAGCTGACTCGTCAACATTTCTCACATTTTCTCTCACCATTCGGACAATATAAATTATTTTGGCATACTTTTCGGCTGTCAGCCATAATACAAGCACAAAATTGATGGCCGAAAAGAGGCCGAAATTTATTTGTACATAATTCATTAAATACGATTTAGGCCAATTTGTCAAAATCCGTGGAAATGGAAATTCATTTCACTCGTAAATTGAAAGCTCAGCCCAGCTGTCAAGTGAATCACGCATACGCATCGTTGGCCACAATTACAAAAGCAACAGAAACCAATCACGAACCCAAAACTAATTTAATACAATGCTCCCCAAAAATTGCATCCAATTCGAATGGGAGCTGAGCAAACATTTGTTTCAGCTCATCCCGGGCCACTACAAAGCTGCCAAGCCCAATTACCATCGTCGAACCATCGGCCGAATAAACTTTAATGGCAATTGTTATGCGGTGGTGCCCGTTATTGATGATTCGCCTGTTGTTTTTACTGCGGCTACGGCTGCTGTCCTCAGATGTATGAAATATTTAATAACCGAGAGCAAACAGTTTGGCGTAAAAAATAAATTGCATATGGACAGCTCAGCTCAGCACAGCACAGCAGAGTACAGCGACGAAGGATAGCCCAAACGGCTCCGCAGGACACGCACTTAAATGTCACTGATTGCTGCGACCGTGTGTGCGGGTTACACCATAAATGCGAAAATGAAATTTACAACAATTTGTTGGAAATTACTTGCAATTGAATTTAATTATGCCTGGTGGGAGTTGTTGGGCCCTCCTGCTCGTATAATTTTATGGATGATTACGTAAATTAAGTTTGGTTTGTGGGCGGCGGAATGATATTCCCATTCGGGCATAATGTACGTGAAGTTAATGTGGAAATCTGATTAACACGCAAATAATTTGCCTCTGTAGCTTTCAACAATGTATTTTTTGGCCTTATTTGTTATCATAAGTATATGGAAATGATGGTTTTGATAAATTCTTTCCAAGGCAAACTTGTAAATTGACTTTTGTTTGGAAAACAAATATTAACAAACGTCAAACTGGATGAATAGAAAATCCATCAATTTCATTATAATGATCTCTGTCAAAGGCCACATCAAACAAAGGAAACCTTAGACCAGAGTCTACGTGACCCATTTTGGACTTTGGCCAGAACCATAACCGAAAACCCTCATACTTTATGCTTTCGGCACACAAGAAAAAACAGGACAGTGGAAAAAATGAAAGGAATAGAGAGCCATGGCAGAGTCAGGGTAGAGCCATGGGAAAAAATAAAGTGAAATGTATGCAAATGGCTTATGGCTGGGTTTTTGCTTACACTTGCTTGACCCTCTCCCTTTTTTTTTTAACTTTTACCCTTCCCTCTTCAAAACGATCCACCTTTTTTTATCGCTTACTTTTTTTGCCGAGAGCACACTGTCTCGGGTCGGGTTTCATGGCTCGATATAATGGCGGAGTGGTCAGGCAAAAGGGTAGAAAGTTATGGCTTAAGTAATTTGTTAAGTTATTATCCAGCACACATGGCGTATGCGCAATGCACGCCAAAAGTAATTTACATGCAAATGTTAGCAAATTTATGCTCATCCACCCTCAAATTTTGCCATTGCAGATATGAAACCTACAAGGCCACGCTCAAGAAAATCCCCGCAACACGTCTCTCCCGACTGACCGAAGCCCTGGCCAACTATGATCCGGTACTCAATGAATACTTCTTCGATCGCCATCCCGGGGTCTTCACCCAAATCCTCAACTATTACAGGTAAGTACCTCAGTACACCGGGCCGGGCTAATTAAGCTGCTAAAAGCTGTTTAGACGTGCAACGACTGTGAATGAGGGTTGAGGGGACCTTTAAGCATGGTAATTACATCATTTAGTTCCGGCAAAAACATTCCGAGTAGAGACATTTTCTAGGGAAAATTGTGCCCTCAGTCCCCTTCACTTTGCTTATTTAATTTTCAGCTACCTTTGGAATTTGAATTTGCTTCTTGCCTGCTATGATTGCCCTGATTAATGGCGCTTAGCAAACATATCAACAGTCAGCTTCCCTTATAGATGGCTTGACGAATAAACAAACTAATAATTTAATTGCTCTGCAACCTGCAGGGACCAACTTGGCATGGCCATTAATCTAAAGTTTTTGAGCTGCGAAAGTTTATTTAACATTTTTCGGGGTCATTAGCGGGCTCATTTATCTTTGCCGTGAGCTGTGAAAGCCCGACTGGAAAGCGGAGGTGCTGCTCCTATTGCGATGACTTAAGTTGTTTAAAATTAATGAAAGTTTGTTTTGCTCATCACCCATTGCCGCTAGCCATCGCACCTAAGTCTGCTTGCACCGACTGATGAAGCTGTTGTCGGATGAAGCAACGCTGTCAGCATCTCACACAGCTCGCATCTTCATTGATTGGGCAGGACCTTGCTCCAGCCCGGCTTCCATGGCTCCGGGGGCTTTTGGCCAAACAGTTTCCAACTCAATTAACCAGGCACCACAGCCAGCCAGCCAAATGGTGTCAAAGAAGGGCGGCAACATCAGCAGGAAGTAAAAAAATAATGCAGCAACCCGCGTTGATTGGAAATGAAACCGAGTCCCCCAGGGTACTGTCGGTGCGACCAGGATACCCCGACACTGGGGGTCTGGTATAATCAAATTATGCACGCACCGAAAGCTTCAGACAATTTATGTGTAAAGATTTTATTCAGATAGAGAGTGCAGGAGAGTGCAGCAAAATAACAAAAGGAAATGGAAATGCAAATCACGGCTCTAAACTTTCAACCATTCATTGTCCCACTTAAGTTCACGAAAAGTAATTATTATTCATTGACCGAAAAGCCCATAAAAGTTCTTCGGTAAATCCCTTTAATATCTTCCCTATTTAAAATGCAAAACCAACAGACCGAATGTGTGAAGGTTAATCGATATTCTTACTTATGCACATTTAAGCGGGAAGAGACTCCTTTATGCGGCTGATCAGCCCTGGTCCTGTTTGAGGTCAGCTATAAATATTGATTGCGACGGTTGCACGCTGCGTATGCGTAATATTTGTTATGCACACTTGATGAAGGGCGAGGCGATTCCGATAATGGAGAAAAAAGGGAAAGCATACCAAAAATATTGCGGGGACAATGGAAATATTTTTAAAAGGCGTAAAGGCAGTGTGCGGAGCTGAATGGGATTGCGGATTTTATGGAGGAAACCAATTAACAATCCATACAAATGTGCCGCAAGGATTATTTGCAAAAGCCATGACAACGACTGCAGTGCATTTCAAAAAGATTAAACACAGAGAAAAATATTATTAAAATGTACAAAATAAATTAAATTTAGAAACTTAAAAGTGTAAATAAAATAAGGGTTATATAACCAATTAATCTCTCAATTTACGGTTTTAAAATCTTAAGCCTAGACCAGGTTGAAAAAAAGTCTTTCCCTCGAAATAACTCTATTTTTCCAGCCGGCCGTGTGAAAATGTCAAAAAAAGTCTGTTGCGGGTCCTATAGACATGAAATCGAACCGGATCCAGATTGTTGAATGAAAGCCGTAATTTGCAAGTTCGCAGGCAGGAGGGAGATAGGTTACGGGTACTTTATTATACCCTTGCAGAGATTATTATAATTTAGGTCAAAAGTGTACAACGCTGTGAATAAGAAAATTCCGACCCTTTGAGGTATACATATATAATCTTGATCAGGATCACCTCCTGAGTTAATAAAAGCATGTCCGTCTTAGGGTGGGTGAGGTGGCGAATCGATAGAAGAAATCGTTTAAGGTACTTTGCTTGAGAATTGGATGAGAATTGGGGAAGATATAGCCATCACTGTGTGTCATATAGGGAAAAACTCCATTTTGAAGGGATCGCATCACAAAAATGGACAAAAAATCTAAAAAATATTTTGTCTCAAGATTTTGACGCAGAATGGTGGAGAATCGGTCTAGAAATTGTTTAAGGTACTCCGCTTGAGAATCAGATGAGAATTGGGGAAGATACAGCCATCACTGTGGGCCATGTAGGGGAAAACCTCATTTTCAAGGGATCCCATCACAAAAATGGACAAAAAATCTAAAAAATATTTTGTCTCTGGATTTTGATGCAGAATGATGGAGAATCAATATAGAAATCGTTTAAGGTACTCCGCTTGAGAATCGGATGAGAATTGGAGAAGATATAGCCATCACAGTGGGCCCTATAGGGAAAAACCCCATTTTCAAGGGATCCCATCACGAAAAATGGACAAAAAATCTAAAAAATATTTTGTCTCTGGATTTTGATGCAGAATGGTGGAGAATCGATCTAGAAATCGTTGAAGGTACTCCGCTTGTGAATCGGATGAGAATTGGGGAAGATATAGCCATCACTGTGGCCCATATAGGGGAAAACCCCATTTTCAAAGGATCCCATCATGAAAAATGGACAAAAAATCTAAAAAATATTTTGTCTCTGGATTTTGATGCAGAATAGTGGAGAATCGATCTACAAATCGTTTAAGGTACTCCGCTTGAGAATCGGATGAGAATTGGGGAAGATACAGCTATCCCTGTGGGCCATATAAGAAAAAACCCCATTTTCAGGGGATCCCATCACAAAAATGGACAAAAAATCTAAAAAATATTTTGTCTCTGGATTTTGACGCAGAATGGTGGAGAATCGGTCTAGAAATCGTTTAAGATACTCCGCTTGAGAATCGGATGAGAATTGATGAAGATACAGCTATCCCTGTGGGCCATATAAGAAAAAACCCCATTTTCAAGGGATCCCATCACGAAAAATGGACAAAAAATCTAAAAAATATTTTGTCTCTGGATTTTGATGCAGAATGGTGGAGAATCGATCTAGAAATCGTTGAAGGTACTCCGCTTGTAAATCGGATGAGAATTGGGGAAGATATAGCCATCACTGTGGCCCATATAGGGGAAAACCCCATTTTCAAAGGATCCCATCATGAAAAATGGACAAAAAATCTAAAAAATATTTTGTCTCTGGATTTTGATGCAGAATAGTGGAGAATCGATCTACAAATCGTTTAAGGTACTCCGCTTGAGAATCGGATGAGAATTGGGGAAGATACAGCTATCCCTGTGGGCCATATAAGAAAAAACCCCATTTTCAAGGGATCCCATCACGAAAAATGGACAAAAAATCTAAAAAATATTTTGTCTCTGGATTTTGATGCAGAATGGTGGAGAATCGATCTAGAAATCGTTGAAGGTACTCCGCTTGTAAATCGGATGAGAATTGGGGAAGATATAGCCATCACTGTGGCCCATATAGGGGAAAACCCCATTTTCAAAGGATCCCATCATGAAAAATGGACAAAAAATTCAAAAAATATTTTGTCTCTGGATTTTGATGCAGAATAGTGGAGAATCGATCTACAAATAGTTTAAGGTACTCCGCTTGAGAATCGGATGAGAATTGGGGAAGATATAGCCATCACTGTGGACCATGTAGGGGAAAACCTCATTTTCAAGGGATCCCATCACAAAAATGGACAAAAAATCTAAAAAATATTTTGTCTCAGGATTTTGGTGCAGAATGGTGGAGAATCGGTATAGAAATTGTTTAAGGTACTCCGCTTGAGAATCGGATGAGAATTGGGGAAGATACAGCTATCCCTGTGGGCCATGTAGGGGAAAACCTCATTTTCAAGGGATCCCATCACAAAAATGGACAAAAAATCTAAAAAATATTTTGTCTCTGGATTTTGATGCAGAATGGTGGAGAATCAATATAGAAATCGTTTAAGGTACTCCGCTTGAGAATCGGATGAGAATTGGGGAAGATATAGCCATCACTGTGGCCCATATAGGGGAAAACCCCATTTTCAAGGGATCCCATCACAAAAATGGACAAAAAATTTAAAAAATATTTTGTCTCAGGATTTTGATGCAGAATGGTGAAAAATCGGTATAGAAATCGTTTAAGGTACTCCGCTTGAGAATCGGATGAGAATTGGGGAAGATATAGCCATCACTGTGGACCATGTAGGGGAAAACCTCATTTTCAAGGGATCCCATCACAAAAATGGACAAAAAATCTAAAAAATATTTTGTCTCAGGATTTTGGTGCAGAATGGTGGAGAATCGGTATAGAAATTGTTTAAGGTACTCCGCTTGAGAATCGGATGAGAATTGGGGAAGATACAGCTATCCCTGTGGGCCATGTAGGGGAAAACCTCATTTTCAAGGGATCCCATCACAAAAATGGACAAAAAATCTAAAAAATATTTTGTCTCTGGATTTTGATGCAGAATGGTGGAGAATCAATATAGAAATCGTTTAAGGTACTCCGCTTGAGAATCGGATGAGAATTGGGGAAGATATAGCCATCACTGTGGCCCATATAGGGGAAAACCTCATTTTCAAGGGATCCCATCACAAAAATGGACAAAAAATCTAAAAAATATTTTGTCTCAGGATTTTGATGCAGAATGGTGGAGAATCGGTCTAGAAATCGTTTAAGGTACTCCGCTTGAGAATCGGATGAGAATTGGGGAAGATACAGCTATCCCTGTGGGCCATATAAGAAAAAACCCCATTTTCAAGGGATCCCATCACAAAAATGGACAAAAAATCTAAAAAATATTTTGTCTCAGGATTTTGACGCAGAATGGTGGAGAATCGGTATAGAAATCGTTTAAGATACTCCGCTTGAGAATCGGATGAGAATTGGGAAAGATACAGCTATCCCTGTGGGCCATATAAGAAAAATCCCCATTTTCAAGGGATCCCATCACAAAAATGGACAAAAAATCTAAAAAATATTTTGTCTCAGGATTTTGATGCAGAATGGTGAAAAATCGGTATAGAAATCGTTTAAGGTACTCCGCTTGAGAATCGGTTGAGAATTGGGAAAGATATAGCCATCACTGTGGCCCATTTATTTCAATAAATTGGTTTCATAATTAAATAAGGATCGGCTTACTTTATGCGGTTTTCGCGATAAATATCCAATCTTAGCTGCAAGAGTATATGAATTTCGGCTCCGCTTTCCTTTCTTGTTTTATAAGATTTTTTGCCATTCAATCTGGGTACGTAATGATTTTAACAAGCACAAAAGCGCGGCCAGCAGGAGGAAGCAAAAAAGTAACGCCAAATATGTTGGGCTCCTCCAAAAAAAAGTAAAGGACATTCAGGATGTGAACACGTGGCACTCACACAAAAAATATATATGTATATTCAAAGGGATGGTGGTGGCAGCAATGGGGCGGAGTGAAGATATCATCCAAAAATAAATGCAGCCAAGGACTCGTCCCACACTCGGCAGCTGTCCGGCAGCTGATATGGCATTACAAGTTGGCCAACAACTGTGGACAAGGACGACCGACCCACTCAAGCCACAGCTGCCTTCCCTGGCCAAAAATCCCACTATTTTCCGGAACTCCCTTGCAGCCATTTACTGCAATTTGCACACACACTCCCCCACACTCGCACAGCAACAACGAGGGCATCAAAAATTGTTGCACATGGCCAAGAGAACGGAACAATGGCCGAGCAGCATTATGAATATTCCCAGGGTTGGCACGAAGGGTTAAGAGGTCCGGGTGCAGGCGGGCTATGACCATGTCTTTTTCTCCACCAGGTGCATGGGCATCCACCCACTTACCTGCCATGCATACGCAAGTGAAACGAACCGTTCTCATAGCTCCACACCCAGTCTTTGTGTCTTTTCGGTTGTGCAATTTGCAGCCGCAATTCCAGACGTGCCGTTTCGACCATAATATTATACAGCCTGATGTTTAAGGTCACTGCGTGCATTTCGAAGTCCATGAATTTGTTTAGACAGCTCCAGACGCCCAGGGGGGCTGTCGACGTTTAGCCACAAAATTCTTAGAGCTTAATTACGGCGACTTAATGAGATTCTAAGAGCCTGAATAACTTTAACTTTATTTAATTTTAAATCCTTAGAACTGGAAAACTGCATTATCCAACTGACGTGTGTGGACCTCTTTTCGAGGAGGAACTGGAATTCTGGGGCCTCGATTCAAACCAGGTAGAGCCATGCTGTTGGTCGACCTATAGCATACATCGCGATACGCAAGTAAGTTTCAACTGCGTCCTCTTCTACTTAAATATTTTAAAAATATATTAAATATTTTGTAGAACACCTTAGCCATATTAGATAAGCTAGATATTGAAAATGAAAAGCCCACGGAGGAGCAGATAGCTCGACTTTTTGGCTTTGAAGAGGCACTGAGCAATGGCGAGCTTAACTGTTGGCAGCGTCTGAAACCCAAGATTTGGGCCATGTTCGATGAGCCCTCGAGTTCCACGGGTGCCAAGGTGACTTGACTTACCTTTCAACTACCAATTACGCCTTTTAATAACTATTTGTTCTGTTAGATCGTTGCTGGCATGTCGGTTTTCTTTATATTTGTTTCTGTGATATCATTCTGCCTGAAGACCCACCCCGGCTTCCGCGTGGACCTGCCCACCTCAGCCGACGGCAGCCACGGCCCCGGCTCGGGAACAGCAGGTGGCCTGCCCCACGGTCACGATCCGATGGGAGAGCCCCCACCTCCGCCACAGACGCACCAGTACCATCAGCACAGCATAACGCCGCCGAGCGGCAGCATCGGGCCCACCTTTCGCGTCACCAACTACACCAGCTATAGTAGCAGCAACTTCACCGCCCCCGGCCAGGCCACGCCCATTGCCACCATCAAGGGGGGGCAGCGGCAGCGGCTGAGACGGGACGTGAACGGGAGCAGTCTGAACGAGTTCATAGAGCAGCAGCTCCTGGGCCACAACGGGAGAAGGAAGCACGGGTGGATCGAAACGTACGGCCAGCCCCACGAGGCCTTCTTCTACGTGGAGCTGGTGTGCAACGTCTGGTTCTTCATCGAGGTCATCATCAGGCTAATAGTAAGTACCTAAAACCATGGCCAAAACAAACCACTAACCAACCATCCTATCAGGTATCGCCCAATCTCTGGCAGTTCATAAAGTCGCCGGTAAACATAATCGACTTTACGGCCACATTGAGCTTCTATACGGACGTAATGCAGCGCATGGGGGAGTACACAGGTCTCCTGGAGGCCTTCTCAATCGTCCGGATAATGCGACTGTTTAAGCTGACGCGGCACTCGCCAGGTCTGCGAATCCTCATCCACACGTTCAAGGCCTCTGCCAAGGAGCTGACCCTTCTGGTTTTCTTCCTCGTCCTGGGCATTGTGTTCTTTGCCAGTCTGGCCTACTATGCCGAGAAACTCCAGGTTAGCTTAAATAAATAATAAATTAAATAAAAACTCTGGATGGGTAAAATTGCGGTCAATAAATGTGTGAGAATAATTTAGCAACCGCAGGAAAGTAATTAAAATAATAAAAGCAATATCCTGTTCTCGTTCGCAGGACAACCCGGACAACCAATTCAAGAGCATTCCCTTGGGTCTGTGGTGGGCCATTGTGACTATGACCACAGTGGGCTACGGCGATGTGGCGCCCAAGACCTATCCGGGCATGTTTGTGGGCGCCCTCTGTGCCCTCGCCGGTGTGCTGACCATTGCCCTGCCAGTGCCAGTTATCGTCAGCAACTTCTCCATGTTCTACTCGCATACTCAGGTTTGTTGGGCCATCGAAGCTACATATTTTCACACCATGTTTACCCGAGTTTTGCTACCAATTCCCAGGCCCGATCCAAGCTGCCCAAGAAGCGTCGTCGGGTCCTGCCCGTGGAGCAGCCGCGCCGCAAACGGGAGCCCACTGTCCCGCACCGCGGGCGAACGAATGCCATTAAACAGACGCCACCCACTGTGCCGGGATTGGTGGGTGGAGCTGGCGGTAGTGGAGCTGGGGGTGGTCCCGGGCCAGGAGGTGGTGGGGGAATTGGGGGTCATGCGATGGGCCACCCAGCAGCAGCATCGCCCATGTTCAAGGATGCATTTGGTGGCGCGAAAATAGGTGAGTCCAGCAGATGTTTGTTTTTAATGCTCTTTACAAGGATTATGGCGTATTAGTTCTGAAAACCCAAATAGGACACTACCAGTATTTAACTAAATGTTTAAAAGAATATTCTTAGTAAAGGGTATTCATAAGGTCGGATAGATCGACCATTATCTGCTATTCTATCTCTCTATTTGGTATTTTATAAAATTTATTTTCGGTTTTGTTGCTTTATTTTTTGGCCTGCAGATGTTTAGAGCTGCCTCAGATAACGCCACAGACCAAGATGAAACACACACAGCATATACACCATATACCACACTTATACATAAACAAAGATATATACCATACATATATGCAACAGACACACACTCACACAGAAATTCAAATGCTGAGAGCTCTTGCCATAGCTTTTCCCTCGCTCCTGGGGCCAAACTAATTTCATTCAATTTCTTGTTTAATTATTTTATTATTTATGCACCCTTCACTGAACGAGTCAGCTGTTATTTAGCATTTAGCATTAGCCCCCATAGCCCCCGGGGGGTTGTCTCCGAGACCCCCCTGGGGTAGGGTAGTTTCATGTGGTAAATTTCCATTTTACTGATTATTCAAAAGCACCGAAGGCAGCATAGGGCCGGGGACCTCTTAACCACATGCGAGCGAGTGGCCTGAATGATAATGACGATGCAGCCCCCAGGGCCGAAAGGATTTAAGTAGATATATGCACTCAACCAACGACAAGACTTGCCACTATCCTCTTAGCTCTTAGCTCATGGCTCATAGCTCATAGCCACTGCAATTGCGGAGCAATTTCAAGTTCATTGAAAGGTTATAAATTTAATGTCGTACAAGGATTTATAATCGTTTCAGTGCTGCCTTCAAAGGGCCCTACTTCTTAGTCAGTTGAATTAACAGAGTCCTGCTGAGTACATTAATATCCGAATTGGTCAGGGATAATCCAGATTGTTTACTAAGTATTGAAGAAACAAGTTGAAAGGCTACAATTTATGGTAAGGCATTCGTATTCAAACAGTTTAAGCCAAGTTCATATGGGTATTTGAGGTTTCTTAGCCACAAGTTCTTAAATATTAACTCACATAAAATATCATGCTATCGTTCAGTAGAAATTGAAAGGCTTTTTTAATATATATTTATTATTTGATTAAAACCCTTTTTAAAATAAAAATTAATAATTTTATGAAATAAATATATTGGCCTTAATTCAAGGAAATAATGGGTGTACTTTATTTACTTATTGGCTTATTGTAAAAAATTATCCTTTCATTTATATATTAATTTTTAATACATTTTTAATCAATTTAACTAAAAAGCTGAGTGCTTAGTCATTTATTCGTATTGATTCGTGTTTTTTTGTGGCTGTATTCAAAATTGAAAATATTTTTATTCATCGCCCTTCTTCTCGATATCCCCCTTTTGGTGTTTCTATTGTTCCTAAATTATGTAAATTGTTTTTATATTTTAATGGTTGGTATATATTGTATTTTTGTACTTTGTTACCTTGTGTGTGTTGGTGTAACGACATGTCCACGTATGCGTGTGTCGTATATGTGTATGTAAATGTAACTGCATCCGTCCGATGTTGAAACTGCAATCGTGCAACCGTGGCAACCGCGGCAGGCACCGTGAACGTGAACGGCGTCAATGTCATTGGCCTGCACCATTCTGCGCCACCGAGGACAACGACGATGCCGACGATTCCGATTCCGAGTGCCGATCCGACGGCCATGTCGGCAATGACCTACCAAGTGCCTATGCTCCAGCCTCCGCCCACGCTTTCGCATCACCCGCCCGCCCATAGTCACGGCCATGCCCATGGCCACGCCCATGCCCATGCCCATGCCGTTGCCGGGACCATGTCGGGGTCTGGGTTGGGTTTGGGGGCGATGACGTCATCGCCGGCATCGCTCACCGGCTCAGCTGCCTCGGCAGCCGCTGCCACAGCCGCCGTAGCCGCCGCAGCCGCACCCGCCGGTCCCTCATTCATCAGTTGTAAGTGTTGTTCCTTGTCTTGTGTCATTCCCCATTTCTTTCTCACTTTCTCTCCTGTCTCTCTTGTCCTGTCTTCGTCCTGGTCTTGGCATGCTGCACATGTAGAAATGCTTGTTAACCATTTGCCTTTTTATGTCTTGAAATGCACTGAGAAAATATAAAATAAATATTTAATTATATTTAAAATTAATATGAATTTTATTAAAATAAGTGAAATAAGTATTTTTATAAGAAATCCCTTTCCTATGACTTTGATTTAATTTAAAAAAAAATATATATACACCCCCTTTTCTCTGTATAATTTCCCCTTTAATGTCTGCATAAGATGGTTTATGTGTTTGCTACAATTAGTCCTATGGGTGAGCCATTACACCCACATCTCCGCCGTGTCACTTCACCCTTGGCTTGTTAAAATTTATCGCATGCTATAAATTCTGCCCAAACGCCATAACTTTGTCACTCCGAGTCAGTCAGTCAATAAAAGAGCTCGCCTGCAACAAACACAAAACGAAAAAAATAAGGAAAAACTTTTTATGTTTATTTGCATATTAAAAGCTTTTGGAAACTCCTTTTTATTTTGGGCATTTAACTTTAATTACAATTTTATTATGCTAGCCGAAAATCCTTTTTATGTCATATTTCAAAATGGCCGCTCACACACTCCCTCACCGAAAAAGAAAAACATTTATATGCACAATCTAAGCACTTCAACATATATAGAAATAAAGTTCATTTATCGCCAAACAAATTGAAAAACTTTTTCCATTTGCCGTCCACCAAAGCACTGGAAAATCGCTCAAAAAATGAAAAGTGTAAAAATATGAAAAGGAAAAACCTGTCGGGGCATACGAGAAAAAAAAGAATATAATGTGAGGGACCTGGTCAGGAAAAATTTCTGCATGATGTGCATTTTAATTAAAGCCACAAAAGCTCAAGTGTGCAAGCTCGAACCTCGACTTTTATACTTTTTTTTTTCTTTTGCCTTTTGACCACTAAAAAGGAGGTGGGAAACGGAAAGCAGTTTGCGGCTCTCAAGGCGATTAATTTCTTGAGCCACTTGTAAGATTGTGAAGAGTGCAGAAAGGAAATCCAGTCGAAAGTTTAAACTTGCTTAGCTGAACTTGCTTGCTTGTTTCGCTAAAGGATTTCAGGGGATGCGAACTTTAACAGGAAGTGTTAAAAGAAAAAATACCCATAAAGGTTAATGCAAAAACTTGGTCGGATTTTTTAACTATTAATAACAACGTAGTTATATGAGAAGCTTTAACAACTTTCTTGTTTAGTTTTAGAAAGTCATTTATTAAAAGTTTAAATTTTATACAGAAACTTTAAATCTTTTTTTTTTAATAAATAATAAGTATAAATAAGTAAGAATAAAATTAGACGTAAAACTTTTTAAGTAAAAAGTGGTAAACTGTGGTTTATGGGTCGTATACGTAATATATTGATCTAAAAAAATACAAGCGACATTTCATTTGTTATTTTAACACAGAAAGTGTCAAAATAACCATAATTATTAAATACTTTTGTACTAAAATGTGTTGTTATTTCAAAAGCTCCGTCCCGCGTAACAAAACTTTTCATAAGCCGCTTAAAAAACACAACCTCCTCCATTTCCCTGCACAAAAAAAAAGGATAATAAAAGAAGTTTAAAAGTGTTGCATTCTTTGGCACGTTCGGAGACGGGGCAAATGACATTTCTATGTTTGCCGGAAATGCAGGAACGCTAACATTTGGCACGGGTGTGCTCCCCCCACAAATACAAAGCAGCTTTGCATTATGCCAAGGCTTTACGCCCGAGGGAAAGGCTTTCTTTTCCTCACTTTCGCATGCAGAAGGCGGGTCACAAAAATGGCAACTAAATCATTAGCAGGCCAGGTTGCTGCAGGAGCTCTGGCAGTGCGCTAAAGTCTTACTTCTAGGACCTTCTAGTGGTCATTAAACGCCAAACTCACAGCCGTGAGAGGAGAACGCAGCCGAGAACAATTTATGGCCGCAGTGGGGCAAAAGTGCATGCCAACAGCAGGCCGACAGCCAGGAATTTCAATTAAAGTCGGCGTGGGTGCCGATGCTTTTTAAAATTCGCCCTCCCACAGGCATCTGGCTGGCGTAACCCCAACCCTTTCTACGGTGAGCTGGCCGTGCAATTTCTTTGCATTTTTTTGTAGCACCACCAATTGGTACGGCATACCTTTACTCACCTGGCCAGAGCTCGCGTTAATTAATTTTAATATTTAAACTTGCTCCAATGGCACAGACACAGACGGTTAAAGTTAAATACTTTTGGAGTCTTCCTGATGTTTACTAAGGAAAGAACAACTCAACTTCACAGAGCTTGTCAATTTTAGGTGAAAGTTTGTCAGAAAAGATGGCACTTTGATGGATTGTTTGTTCAATAAAAATTAAAAATACACAACTTAAAATTGGTTAAGTTTTAGATGTTTGACTTTTGATGTTTTTAAGCTTAAGACTAGTTTAGTTCTTAGTTCTTAGCTAAGTGTGTGACTTAAGCTCTTGTATAGTATTTCTTCCCTTATACTTTGTGACATTGACTTTTATCTCCAATTGTAATTTAAAAGTTGTCATGTCCTGTTTTTTGAGCTTCCTTTTTCGTAGAACCATTTATGTCTATAGAAATATTAAAAATGATTTCACAACTTTACACTTTTTTTTGGTGTCTTGCCGCAAACTTTTTTCCAAGAAGCTATGAAGCAAAGAACATTTTTGTTGCGTGCCTTTTTAAAGTTTTGTAAACCCCCGACCCTTTTGGGTTGCCATTCACTTTTTATATATTTTTTCTTTCCCTACATTCGTGTTTGTTTTTCTTTTGTTTATTTTCTTTATTTTTTTTTTGCGCTGGGGAAACTTTTGCCTTGCCTTGACTTGGCCACCGTTTGCAGCGACGGCACTAACGCATTTCCACGGCCTTTCCGGCCACCTCCTCTGACTTTGCAGCGGACTATTTGAGCGTGCCGGCGGTGCAGAGCCTGCAGCCTCGGGCGGCGACGACGGGCCACGACTTTATGCTGCCGCTACAGCCGAAACTCCTGGCCCCCCTTGGTGAGTTGATGATGGGTTAGCCATGGGGGCCTCCGTGGCCTCCGTCTCCCGTTTTGGTTGAAAGTTTTACGGACAGATAATTGCGTGAGGGGCGAGAGGTGATGGGCTGCCGGAAAAGGTGATGCCCACACAGTTGAACCCACTTGTAGCCATACACCCACTATAGTTTGAGAGCCATTGTATGGCCAGGACAATGGTCCGACAGAGGACTATGGCCGGGTGTCACTGGAAAGTTTCGAGCACCCTGTGGAGGGGCAATTGAAATTTCTGCTCGAGTTTGTAATTCTTAAAAGGGGTTATCAACATGTTCAAAATGTGGGCAGTTTACAATTGTATAGAGTAAAAAATATAAATAGTTTTTTTATTAAAAAAAAACTGTTAAAAATTATTTTATAAAAACCATCCTTGTTTTTTAAGGAAAGTAACTTGTTTGAGGACTAAACTGCTGCTACGTATACTTCATTTTTTAATTAAATCCATTCAAATATACTATCAGATCTTTCTTACTTCAGTAAAGAACTATTTTCAGGAGAATTTGTGAATCCTAAAAGTAATTACTAAATTGAAACTTATCAAGGGTATTTCTCATCTTCACTTGTTTTAATTTATTTTGGTTGGAAAAATGTGTGACAGGCGGAAGTGGGAAAGGACGCGAAGTGCTCTCAGCTCGTTCATTCACTCGAATCCTTTACAGATGCCTGCACAATGCCGGGCGATAAACCAATCGCTGACATGTCCTCGAATGCACTTCCGCTTCCGTGTCCTCTTCCGCATTCGCATCCGCATTCTTCAGATACTTTACAAATTGGAGTGCTTACAGTAGCCACCTTTTCTCTCCTCTTTTCTTCCACTTGGCAGAGCGCAAGGATCAGCATCCCCTGCAGCTGACCGCCCACAACTTGGCCTCCGATACGCACCAGCTAATGTACACGAGCCACGCCCACAAAACGGCAGGTGGTGGTGGCGGTGGTGCGGCTGTACTGAGTGTCCCACCCACCTTGAGTATGACGCACACCCAGATGCCACCGGGAATGGCCAGCATGGGCCAGCGGACTCCGAACCTGAGTTTCCGGGCCTCACACACCGGCGGTCAGGTGGCCACGATTCAGCAGCCCATACCGCACGCCCATGCCTGCCACGCCTCCACGAACTGCAACATCAAGATCTCGGTGGCCTCCGCCTTGGGCTGCCCAGACGAGCTGCGGGGACCGAAGGTGACCCTCCTAGACGATCTCAGCGACGAAGTGAACTCCTCGACGGACGACTGCGGCGATTGCTGCCTGGTGGAGGACAGTGACACCTACGAAGGCGGCACCACCAACAACGGATCCTGCGGCCAGGGAACAGGAGCCATTCCGATCGGTGGGCTGCTCGACGGCGGTGAGGAGGACAACGACGACGGAGATGGCAGCTGTGTGGGCGGCGATAGTGGCGACAGTCTGGGCGGGATCTACATCGGGCCCACGCACTAAGCACCTGAAGCCAGAAAATTGAAAGGATAGGAATAAATGTTTAAGGATAAAGTGTTAAAGTTTGTGTATTGTGTGAGTGTCTCGTGTTAGGTGTTTATGAAAACTTAATTCTGAAGAAAACTAAACACTTTCTTAGGTCAGTGAAGCACAAATTTTTGAAAAGTTTCAAATCTTTTGGTCTTGCCAGGTTTAGTTTTAGTAAATTATGAAATAGACTTTTCAAAATCTTGAGTCGGTAAATGAAGGACGTTTATTTCCTATTTAACAGAAAATATTTTAAATATCCTATTTTATATTTTCCTAAACTTCAACACCTTTAAAATATTAAATGCTTAAAATTTCTAACGAAAACAAAGCTTCCCAGTGAGTGAGTCTATAAAGCTGCCACTTTAATATTTTGAGAACAAAATAATTTAAAATTTAGCCACTAAATCACTGCCTTTCTCATTTAATTCCTTACTGCAACAATTTTGTATATTTTTTGGTGGGAAATCCATTTGCAGGACTCATTTATCAAGTGTTTTAATCAATCTCTGCTCCCGGCGACAAATAACATTTCTTGTCTGGCCAAGACAAACATCCGTAACATTTGTATCAGTGTCCTTATAACTGTCATGTTGACAACTGCCATTGACAGTGTGCTGTACACACACACACACACAGTCTGTGTGTGTTTTCTTATGCAGCCGGGCACGTCCGGAATTCTGTCGGAGTCCGGCCATTTTGCAAACAAAGAGCGACAGAAGAGACAGAAGTTACGGAAGAGCGGAGCAGCATACCCGCATACAAAGCAAACATATCGTCCATATAAATGTGACCACTTGTGTGCAGCCAAGCAGCGATATCCCTAGTCCCCCCCACACCCACAGTCCCCCATGAATCCTTCGATCCTGTGGCTGACACATCAAGGTGTTTATTGTCCAAAGTCTTAAGGACAAAACTTGCATGGCCAACTATACATTTCTCGACTCTCTCGTGCTCCATTTCCCGGATCAGACCCTGAATCATGGCGAAAAGTGTCACCGGGCATGTTTATCTGACACATTGACTGCCACCATTTCAATGAACTTGCGAGCAAAAACTATGTCGACAAGTCGCACACACCCACACACAGAAACACAAAAGACGGCGACTGCCAAAAAACTAAAATGTCCTTGGGTGGGAATCCTTCCTCGGAAATACATAGATAATGGTGTGTGCGTGCGTGTGGTTCACCTTGTAAATAGTATTTTGTGGTCGCTACTATGTATGCCAAGTTTTCTTCGACATTTATTCCTATGAATGGTAATTTATTAATTTATGGTCGGAAAACGCAAGAAGCTGTAAATATTTAATTATGAGAAAAAATAGAAAAGAAAAAAAACACAAAAAGTGAAAATAGAGACGACTTCAAATAAGGTTCAATGGTAATTTTTGGTCCAATACTTATAGTTTTCTTAGATGTGCTAAGAGATTAACCAACAGGCGAAATGTTTCATTCCAATTCTTATGTAAATGAGTGTTTAAAATTTATTAATTAAAAGTCATAAGTGAGTGTGAAATAATGTTAGTATAGAGACTACAAGCCAACAAATGATGGTGGTAAATGGTTAATAATGCTATTTTGTCAGTATAATCAAATCTGTTGGTCTGAGTGTGTATCGTTATAAATTTAGTCCTAATTCCGTAAGTAACTCAAATTAAATTGTTCAATATTTACCAATTTCTAGAAAATATTATGTAAGGGTATTCGTTGCATCGGCTTGCCGATTCTATTGTTTTTTTCCTATTTTTAAAATAGATTCTTTATTGTATATGAAAATGTTGCTTTAAATACTGTTCAATTTAGATAAAAATCAAATAATTTCTAAAATTACAAAACCAAAAGTTTTAAAATTAGGACAGCTCTGAAACAAAGAAGATAAAACGAAAATGTTATTTCAAAAAAGATAAAATTTGCATAAAAAACAAAACAAGTTAAACGATTTACTTTTTGAATAAATTAAGCTACAGCAGGCCAATGATCATTGAAATGAAAATTGTTTCAATATTAAAAGTTAGTTTGAAAAACACCAGTGAAACTAATATTAAAATTTTGCCTAGCAAACAACATAGTTTAGTCCGGACATTGAGAGAAGAAAGTTCATGGAAAATCCAATTCTATAGAAAATATTAAACCTTTTGAATGAAATCACCCACCACGCGGCAGGCAACAGGAATCCGGCTGAACAAAAAATGAATTAAAACAATTTTCAAGCTAAACTCTGAGTGTATATAACTAATTTCAAAGTAAACTCCATTTGATTACCTAAATGTCGAAATGAAGTGGAAATGGATACATTTCTATAACATTTATTGTAAGTAACGTGTGAAAAAAAGAAACCAAAAACAAAAAACCCATTTACAAACAAAGCGAATTTTTAAATGTTGAAAAGAAATAACAAAAAAAATATAAATGAGGTCCTCGAATGGCTAATAACATATTAAGAACAACATTGTGGTGTGTGAAAAATTCCAATTTTAACAGAAATAAAAATAAAAAACTCTTTGGAAAAGCATTCAAATTTCAATGACTTTTACTCCGCTTCTACAAGGGCATCATCATCAAATTTTCCAGGCCGACCAAGACACGTAGAACATTTTATGCTAATCAAACCGGGACGAGGAGGAAATTCAATTTCAGGGCCGCCCACACAGCAGCCATGGGCAGGATTTTTAATTTAAAGAGCCGACCGGAGGTAGGAGCAACCAATCTGAATGGGAAAATGCGGCTCCGACTCGCACTCACTTTTCATTTGGCATGGCCATAAACAGGGGATCAGCTTTGAGGCCGCCCTCATAAGGCCATTTAGAGGGAAATTTATGCCTGCCACCTCTGCAGTAAAATGGCCCAAAAAGCACGGCCCAAAAAATACCCACGTGCGCCCACAAATGGGAAACTGCAAGTGATGGCGTCTAATATAGACACTTAACCACTTACAACCAGGCCGAAATACACACTCACATCTACACACATGTATGGCACAATACGATTTTGATACACGTACACGCAGTTGGCACATCAAAGCGCAAATCCATTAAGCATTAAGGTGGCCAACTATGCGGGCCAAGGTGTTTAAAATTCAACAAATTGGTTAGAATAAGGGATACTCTTTTTTAAAATACGTTCAATATTTAATTTTGATTTTTATTTCAAGAAAATAATGTTATTTCTTTCATTTTACTCAATATTATATACTTTATATAAATTATGACTCATATATTACTCATACGCACTGATGTCCTAAGCACACATACCAAGTTATGTTACTCATACGCACTGTTGTCTTTTTTCAAGAAAAGATTCCTTAGAGAAGACTAAAAAAGTTTCATTGAAAAAAATCAAAAAAGTCACCGACTAATAAAGAAACTAACCAAGCCCAATCTCCCCTACATGCAAAGGGTATTATATGGCATTGAAGCGGGCAAAGGAAATCACAAGCCGGATACGTGAGCTCGCTGCAAGGGCGGGGCTTATCTGCAGTCCCGGCTCCCAGGAGTGTGCTAAAGCAGTACGGCTGGAAAAAAAAGAGGGAAAAACGCTGGCAATGGAGGCCTGGAGGGGAGAGGTAGTGAAGCGGTGAAGCAACACCGCTCATAAGCGAGCGCAAGATTAATGAGCACCACCTGCCTGCAGACAAATTAGATGGCATAATTCAGTGTGACCCGCACACGGAACATATTTCGTGCTCTTCTCCGGCCGGAGATTGAGATTGTGGGGGCTTGGCTTCCTTGGTGTCCTCATAGGTGTGCGGCGTAGATCTGCCACGTTAAGTGCTGGCAAATTTATGCAAAATAAATTATTTGCCAGTTTGAAACATGCGGGAACAACAAAGTAAGTGTGACTCGGGCAGAATAAAACTTACCCATCTCTCGAGATGAAATCCAGCGTAAGCTGTTGATTTATGCTCGACTTGATAAAATGTCGCATATCCGGTTCCGAAATGGCAGGCCCAGGCCCAAGCCCTGGAAAATGAAATACAATTTTTTCCCTTCGCCTTCTATTTTTTCTCTGCCAGCTGCCTTCTATTTCGGGGAAATGGGAAATGGCAGAGACTGGATAAGGGGATGCGATAAAAGCCAGAAGAAGTAATCAAAGTTAGCATATGGCGGCGATTGCTGTCTAGAAATGCATGGCAATCCCCAAATGTGTTCCCTGATTGTCTGCAACTCCTCTGACACGCCCATTTTTATTCATTTCCAGCTTGGCTTTGTGTATAAGTATTTTCCAGCGCAGTGAGTGTTTGTTATGGCCTGGCCTGGCGGGGCGCATGAGAAATGCGCTCTTCGATGAATAATACGGACAAGTTCTTGGTGAGTGTTTTTGTTTTTTCTTTCTTCATAAGAGTGTACATATGTATATACATTTTTCATAGGCATAGTATTTTTGAAAGTAAATTACATTTTTGGAACCTTAAATTTAGTTGTTGGGTTGCTGGTTAAAAAAAATACTACTGATGACACCTGGGGTTCTTTCTGGACTTTGCCGTCCACCCTCATGTCTTGGGCGGCAATTTGGCGGTGGCTTACAGTCTGGAGCACGTTTGTGAGGCATCCTGAAAGTACGATATGAAGATGGCCTTGGAGCCGGACATCGAGGTGCTGGGACTGGGCAATGAGGGGATCGACGATTGACCTGGCTTAACTTGAAGAAGCAACGCATCATTCGAATCGAGTTGTTCAGGTTGGTCCGCAGGAGCCTGAAGAACAACTGGATGTAGAAGGTACTGTCGGTGGCTTCCAGGACAAACCATAAGACTGTCCCTCCAGCCAAGCTGGTAACCAGACCGGAAACCCAATAAATGTGAGGCGAGGGGTCGCAGCCGGTGCAGCTCTTACCGAGGAAGTCTTCAATCAGCCCATAGAGGAACCGCTCTATTCCACACCATATGATAATGGTTGCTATCTCAGCCACGAAGATGGTACTTATAGTCTCGACCACCAGTTGCCAGATCCGGTTACAAGGGATAAAGCGTCTCGAAATAATGCTGACATCCCAGAGGAATCTTAAAGTTGCCAACAAGAAGAGCCAGCTGCCCAGGATCGGAGACGGCGAACAGCAATCCTTCGGCTGGACAAAGAAGAAGGCGAAGCCCAGGAATTGGAAAAACGCAGCAATAGTCACGGCAATGATATCCATTTAAAGATATTTCGGTTTTATTATTTTTTAAAGTTTATAAAATAATTCCGAAATATATTTCGTAAAAAAATTTACTTCGTCTTGTGACTGTTATACTAGTTCAATTGAATTTTATGGTTTAAATTTCACTGAAATGTCTTTAAAAGTCTACTGTGTTTCAGGACCCACTTTGTTGAAACATGACTGACAGCCCCTGAGTAATTAGCCTTCTCCAATCATCAGCAGGAGACTAACCAACAGAGAGAAGACCCTCCAAAGCCGAACTCATTATGCATGTATTGCAATTAATTAGTGTTTGTCAACCCATACAAATCCTTGTGCACACGCATAGTCCCTCTGGTGTGTGACAGGATTCGAGAGAAAATTAGTTTACCGACCCGCCCACTAATAGCCTCGCATTACGCGCTTATCTAAAATCAGTCGACAGGCAGACAGACAGGCGGCTGGCTGGCAGGGAGATGGCAGGCTTTGGCATCGGCAGCCATCCAAAAAAGTGCCAACAAATTAACATAACATTTACCGCAATTAATCAAAATTAAATCGTTACACCATCACACCGATACCACCAGCTATGACCATGTCAATGTACCGCATGAACAGACTTGGGTCTGGGCCTTGTTCGTTGTCCTCCGGAGAGTGTGCCAAAAACAAGCCAAGACCGCCTCCTTTAGAGTCCTTCGTGGGGGGGTTGGGAGGAGTGATGAATGACCTACCTGGCGTCCGACTGCGAACTTGAATCTATCAAAGCCATTGGCGTCGGGGCAAGTGAAAGTGCCTGAAACTGACAGAGGGAACACCTTTTCGCCCCAGGCCATTGCACAGTGGTTCAAAAACGGTAAATTAAAATTCAGAAAATTAATATTTTACTTTTAAAGAACTGTCTTATATGCTTGGAACTTCTACACATCATATGCATTTTTTTTCTCCTCCTATAATTACAAATTTTGTTAAATATTTTCTCAAAATCAACCACTGTCAGAGGATACACTCACATGCCCTTTAAGCTCACTGATGAAGAGGGTTCATTGTTGTCAGTCCTAGGGTCCTGGGTCCTGTGTTCCCGGGTTCATCTTGTCTATTTAAAAATTGATTTGTTGTTATTTACATGCGACATTATTTATTTGGGATATCTTTTTAAGCGATTTTATGCCAGCACGGCAACCGATAATTGTGTGTCCTTCAGGTCCTGTTGGTGCTGTCGAAAATCCAATTTGTAAGTGTCACAGACAGTTTTTCGGGAGTGAACGAGACAGATTCCCTACACCAGAGATTTTTTTTTTTATTGGTGGATTCTCCAGTGAAGCGAGAATCACAGTTGATTTCGGATGCAACAAGTTGGCAGGGGTCAGGATCGAGGACTTTGGGGCATGACTGGAGGTGCCACAGCATGACATTTGTTATTGTACTCGGTTGGCGAATACATGTTCATTTTGAGGTGGGAGATGGGGCCAAAAGAGATAGGGCCAGAGATAGAGGCCTGTAATTGAAAGCATTCGAGTAGAAAAATCAATCAAAATTGTGCGATTGACATTTAAACGGGTTTGGGTGCAAATTCCTCGAGAGTTGAGGGCATTTTGTCCACTGAGCTGGAAGCTTTTTTTGCATAAATACTTGCTTGTTACTCTTGTTACTTCCATTTTAGGAAAAAAATAAATAATTTGTAATTATAATTTGCATTTTCTGGCTTCCTCCCCGCCAACGCAAACGAAAAATGTACACAAAGGAAGCACTTACATTTCAATTAAATAATAAATCAGTTGAGGAAGAAGTAATGACTGCAATGGCGGCAGCAATTAAGCGTATAAACCATCAAAAATGTCTGGGGAAAATAATTTGCACTTTCCCTGTGCCTCTGCGTCTGTCAGTCTGTGTGTCTGCCCCACCTCGTTTCTCGCCTGCTACCCAGCTAGTCCCTCCTAGCCGTTCGGTTTGTGGCAGGAAGCCCAGAGCAGTTGGGAGCAGACACGCGGCCAAGTCGTGCACTTAAAATTTCATATAATTTCGCACGTGAAACTTTAATGAACTTTTCACACTCATTACACACACGCACGCAGATCGAGATAGGATACACAATGAGGTACCATGTGGAATCGGGATATATTATATATGCCAGTGGCGTAGTTGGTTATAATGAGGATTCAAAAATGTATGCTATAATAGGCAATAATTAAAATAATTGGTTAGGAATGAGTAGGTTCAATTATTCTCCAAACCCTTTCTAATAATTTAGGTCAAGTAAGTTTCATGCCCTAAAGACTTCCTATTTCATGACCTAATTTAATAATAATTAGAACTATTTTGAGGTAACTAATTCCCCTTAAATATATAATAACTTAAACTGCGCTCCTGAAACTAAGAACAAGTGATTTCCTAAGGGATTCAAAATAGAGAGAATAAAATGGAGTCTAAAAGGATGTAAAGGTGGAAGAGGTAACCCTTAAGTTTGGATTATCGGGTGTGCCTTTGTAGCCACATGCATTGTGTGGCAGCTACAAGGGGATATGGGGTGCAGGGCACAGGAACATGGGGCAACCAACTTGGGCTTGCAACAAAAACGAACTTGACTTGTCAAATCGTGCGCGTAAAAGTTTTAGCCATGAAAAGTTTTTTGCTGCTACCTGTAAGGCATTTATTTTTACCTTTATTTTTGTATCTAGTTTATATGCTCTTTTGCAGTCACTGTAAAAGACACTGACAGCTTGCAAAATTTTCAGATAAAAGGTAGAGATACCTGAATACCATTTAAAGAACTTGAAGAAAAATTAGTAAAATAAAAATAATGATACAAAATATTATAATGTCTAGTAGGGATACCCCCAAGTGACATATTTTTAATGACTTTTCCAGTCTTTAAATTTGAATTTGATCTCTTTAAATCTCCCATACCCTGAATGTAACAGTGCAGCAGCAACAAAGTTGTATGCCAGTAGCTGCATGTTGCACACGTGTCAGGCGGCAAGTTGGATAGAAGACAAGGAAACGGTGCAGTATCCGGGGGCTTTTTACGTGCCACAGCCGGAGCCAGAGCAGGAGCCGGAGCGACTTGTCAAAGGCAGTCCCCATCAGTTCCGCTTCTGAAAAGTAGATACTACACCCGTCCCACCCTGCCCCGAGAGACAAATTGAATTCGTTGGGATTGTTGCAACTCTGCGGCACACGAAATGCGGACAGGCAGTGTCTGCCACTGCGGCAGTTGGCGAGTTTGTTTGTGTGGGGCTGTGTGGGGGCAGGGCCCGCTTGATTTGCATTTGCCACCCAAGCGATTTTCGGTGCCCCATCAACCGTTGAAAATCACGCTAATTGTCGGCGACACAAAACACGGAAAGAAAATGTAATCAGAAATGGTGAGTGGCAGACACAGTGGCAATTAGGACTTGAAGGATAAGGGATTAACTTGCTAATATCATAAATATCTCTAGGATCTTCAAGCTGAAACCTAATTTATTATTTAATTTTTATCAGTGCATGTTTAGGCGCAATGCAGCTGTTGGAAATAGCTGACGAAAGTAAAAGTATCTTTTGGAACACTTTGCCGGAATTTGCATTAATTGAAATGCAGAAAGTCAATGGGGACAGGTTGCACAATTTGCACTAGATGAAGTAAACTTCTTGAAACTGCCTTTTAAACGGTTGTTTTTTTTAGCTGAGACTTGGATTTGTAGATTTTCAAATACTTTTCGGATAACAAGCTTGTGCCAAGAGCAGCGACAGTATCCAGCTTTGTCATGCAAATCTGACAACTCTTTGTCAGCTGCCCCGTCCACATCCTGACATCCTCCGAGTCCCGGCTGCCAAAAGCTGTCCGGCTGTCTCTGGTCCTGTTTGGTGACAAGACGCAAACGCAAACACAAATACAAACAAAAGTCAATGCTCGGAGCTATTAGGGAAACAACAACACGGCCCCGAATCAACACTGGCCCACTCACCAGCCTTTTAGCCAAAAAGTGCAGCTAGTTACGCCAAATGAAGGATGAACAGGAGGATGGCAGGTTCTACCGTGCTGTCTCTCTCTCAACAAAGCAAGAAAAAAAAGGACACCTTGCATAATTAATAAGCATTTCCATTTGCAACAAGGAGGAAAAGCGGAAAAGCTGCTGGCCGCGACATTTGCATTTCAACGCAGTTTTAACACGCTCATGAGCAGCAAATAGCAGGATAAGGAGGACCAAGGACACTGGACCAAGGAGAGGGGAATTAATTTCCATCTGGCCTGCGGTCGGGCGACTACTAATGAGTGCACTAAAGTCCTGGTCTTCAACAGAGTTAATTTGGAGCATTAAGTAATTTCATTAGAAAAACAATTGAAAGGGTAGTAGTGCTTAATGATAAAAAAACAGATGGTGGAATCAATTTCTTAATTGAAGAGTAGCCACTAGAAGATAATTTCTTGGATATCCTTGATCTTTTACCTTTTCTTCAACGCTCTTGAAATACAATTTGACAATAAACCTGAGCACACTTCGATTTCCTTAACGACTAAGGCAAACTTTATTTTCTAAAGGACACTCGGGGCGTCATGGTCTCATGTGTTATGGTGTGACCTAGGCAAACATTTCAATTAGTTCCTTCGGTCCTGCCAGGCCGACAAATTTCAAATTGTTTTGTCAGCCCGAGCCAAACTTGATAAATGCCAAAGTGTCGAAAGTGTTCTGGTATGGCATTGTCCTGACGTTGAAAGCATTTAAAACACGATTTTCACATTTACTTTTCAATTTTGCATTGTTATCGCATGGGCTGCTATCGACCCTCTCTTTCTATTAGTCATTCTCCATCTCTTTCGCCGGTTGGCCCGACCCACTTGTCAGACAATGGCGACATATTGGGGAAAAGTGTCTAGCAAGCCAGAATTGAATCACACTCTGCGGGACCTCAGATTCGATTAACTTAAATCGAATTTTTTGGTTTTGGTTTTCGGTTTTGCGATAAAAACATCAACTAAGTCACTCAGCTTGGGAAGAGAGGGTGAAAGCCAGCCTTTGGTAACAAAATCAGGATATAAAGGGAGTCTGCCATCCTAGCCGCTAGCTGCGATTTCCTCTTATTCTTTTTTTTTTTGAGCATAAACAAGATTTATATCGGC